TAGGGCTGCCCCCCCCCAAACATGGGGAGTCGCGCTTGAAGAATAAATCGCCCAAAACCCAACAACTTTTCGTCTTGGAAGGCGCCCTAGACACTCTCCAATCTGGAAAAATGCGAAGCGCGCTGGGCGCTCCTGGGCGCCCTAAAGACCGCTTCTGGGAGCGCCTCGGAGCAAAAGGAGCGCGCAGGAGCAGGTTTGAGCGCCCACGGCGTAAAATTTGCCACATAGCGCGTTCCCAAAAAGCCGGCGCCGCATGGAAAGCGCTTGGAATCGCTTGGGAGCGCCCGGCAGCGATTGGGACTGCCTGGGAGCGTCTGGGAGCACCTGGGAAGCGCCTGGGAGCGCATGGGAGCGCCCGGCAGCGCTTGGGAGCGAGCGCCCCGGAGCGCCCAGGGGCGCCTGAGAAGCGCCGCGGAGCGCCTGGGGCGCCGGGGAACACATTGAAAGCGCATGCGAGCGCCCGGGGGCGCCGGGAGCGCCTAGGCAGCGCTTGCGAGCGCCTGGGGGCGCCAGGAAAACACTGGAAGCGCCTCGGAGCGCTTGGGCAGCGCCTAGGAAGCGCCCGGGGGCGCTGGAGCGATTGGACACGCCTGGGAGCGTCTGTGGACGCCTAGCAAGTTTCGGCTGCGCCTGGGACTTGGGAGCGCTTGGGGGCACCCGCTAGCGCTTGGGGGCGCCTAGAAGCGCCTGCGAGAGCCTGCGAGTTCCCTGCGCCCGGGAACGCCAGGAAGCGCCTGGGCGCGCATGGGTAGCGCCGGGGAGCGTCTGGGAGCGGTTTGGGGCGCTCGAGCGCGCGGGCTTCACGGCGCTTCTGCTGCTTCCTCGGCGACGTTCGGTTCGTGGGAACGCAGGGGCTCTCCTGAATTCTGACAGGCGTTAGTTCGGGAGGTCGCTGGCCTTTGGGCCGGGGCGGGGAGATGTCGCAACTCTGGCGCCGTCGCCAGACTTGATCAGACGGCGAGACGCCACCGCAATCAAGCCTGCCGAGGGGGGAGGGGGGGGGGGTCATTGACGACATAGACTGTCGGCCGCCGCGGGCCGAGAAACCACGTGCCCGAAACCGTAGATCCCCACGCGACTCGTTTTGCATCTGCCCACCCGCCGCGCATCCTTCAAGACGCCCACGCCTGACGCGGCGCCCAGCAGGCCCGCCTGCTGGTAGCCAGAGCGGGTCGCCCGCGCAGTCGGGGGCTGCCTCCATTCGGGGAGTCGCACTTCGACGATAATCGCCCCCCTGATCCTCGCGACAAACACAGCGCCCTAAACCCGGCGACTTCGGAGCCCCCCAAGTCTCCTAGATACTCTCCCACAGGCGAAGAAACGCGCGAGGCGCGCTGGGCGCCCCAGGGCGCGCTGGAAAAAGAAGCCGGGGGTGCCTCTGGGTAAGAGTGGCGCGCGGGGGCAGGTTTTAGCGTCCGCGGCGTATATTTGCCGCGTGGTGCGTTCCTAGAAAGCCGGCGCCGCCTGGAAAGCACCTGCGCGCGTCTGCAAGCGCCCGGCAGCGCCTGCGTGGGGGCGCCTGGGAGCGCCTGGGAAGCGTCTGGAAGCGCCTGAGGGCGCCCGGCATCGCTTGATAGAGCGGCTGAAAGCGCGGGATGCGCCGGTGAGCGCCTGGGACGCCTTGGGGCGCCTTGGAAACGCTTGAAAGCGCCAGGAGCGCCTGGGCAGCGCTTGCGAGCGCCAGGGAGCGCGGGGGGCGCCTTGGAAGCGACGCGGAGCGCTTGAGAGCACCGTGAAAGCGCCTAGCAAGCGCCTGGGAGCTCCTGGGAGCGCCCGGGAACGATTGGGTGCGACTGGGAGCGCCTGCGAGCGCCCGGTGAATTTGGGAGGCGCCTGGGCCTTAGGAGCGCTTGGGAGCGCCTGGAAGCACCATGGAGCGCCTGCGAGTTTCCTGCGAGCGCTGGGCGCCTCCCCTTGCACCTGCGTGCTTCCTGCGTGCCTGCGTGTCCTCGCCGTGGCTGCGTGCCTGTGTGTCTGTTGCGTGTATGTATGCTGTCGCGCTCTCCACGTTCCTACGTGTCATCTCCGCGCATATGTAGTGGCGCGCCTTATGCATGCCCGCGCGTCTGTCTGCTTTCTGAGAGCACGCGGGTCAGCGCGCTCCGCGCGCGCCGCAGTGCCTGCGAGTGCACGGGCGTCACTGCGCGCCTGCTGCGTCATCGGCAACGTTCTGTCCGTGGGAACTGATAAACTTCCCTTGTCCCTAACGAGCTTTCATTTGGGAGTTGGCGGGCAATTTAGCCGGGGATGGGGCGTTGCTGCAAATCTTGCACCTTCGGCGTGCTTGATCGGGGCGGCGAGACGCCCCCCAATCAAGCCTGCCGAAGGGGGGGGGGGGGGGGGGGGGGCATTGACTGGGACTGTCGGCCGCTGCCGGCCAAGAAGCCTTAAACCCCAAACCCTAAACTGCAAGCCACGGGCTGCGCAACGTCCGTAGTCCGCGGCGCCTGGCCGAGCGCTCAGCGAGCCTCCCCATACAGCGTACGCCGCACCGACGAAGCGCGTAGTGCTGAGGAGGAATTCGCACGCCGCGCGTGTACAGCTCCGCTGGTCCGCAGATGAACCCTTGACCCTCGCCGCAACAGGCGGGTTCGCTCCGGGCCTCTCCATCAGCTGGGGCTGCAAACCTATAAATCTATAGCATGTGGCGCTCTTTCGGGCGTCCATGGGGTTGCGCGCCCTGTGCAAATACAACGTGCGGCGCCCTCGGGCCTTCTCCCATGCGCGCCCCTGGGGTTGCAAACGTACAGTCTGGAAATTCAGCATGCGGCGCCCCTGGGCCTTCCTTGGGGCTGCAAGCCATACTGAAGGACTGTGTGCGGTGCCCTTGGTCGTTTGCCCCATGCATACCTTCGTGGCTTTCTTGCAAAAGCCCTGGGAACTGCTCCGAAGCGCTTGGCTTCGCGAAAGAAGGACGCCGCGGTGCTAACAGCGCCGAGCTCGTACTTCGAAGGGCTGACCCCGTGGCGCGTGCTTGGCGCGGCGCGACCTGGACCTCCTTCCAGAATCCCACGCGCGCGCTCGCGCAGCGCAGTGCCAACGCTGCCCTGTCCATCTGCTGTGCGCACCGTGGCGAGGGGGTGCCAACCCCACCTCCTCGCGCCCCCCCTCCAGCCGTTCGAAGTGCGCGCTGGCGGTACGTTGCGGCTTCCCCCCACGCGGGCTCCCAGGACCAATGCACATGCTGCGCCTGCGGAGCGGTGCGCATCGTGGCGAGGCGGTGCCGTGCGCATCGTAGCGAAGGGGTGCCAATCCCACCCCCTCGTGCCCTCCCACTCGAAGAGCGCGCCGAAGGAAGCGAGAAGCCCCACGGCGAAACCCAAAGCCGACGGGCTTCCACGCCCCCATGGTCTTCTGCGCCCGAAGCAGCCCCACGGCGTAACTCAAAGCCGGAGGCCGACGAGCAGCTCAGCGCGGCAAGCTCGCGTGCCTGCAGAAAGCGCATCGCGCGCGTCCTCAAACACACGCGCACTGCCCAGGCCGCGCCGGCCGTCTCTCAACAGCATGTTCGCTTGCGCGCCGAACACGGCAGCCCCCCTTGATAGGGGGGTTGGGGGGGTAGAAGCCCTAAACCCCAAAAAGCTTCGCTTTGGGTGATCTGGGGCAGGAATACAAATTCGGGGCGCGCGCGGCCTGGGCACCAATCCCCCCCAACACTCTTGGTGAGGGGGGGACCGCCGCCAGCACGCATTTTCTCCAATGCAGGCCCTAAACCCTAAACCCCAAACCCTAAATTTATCCAGCACGGGCTGCGCGGTGCTTGTGCATGCGAGGGCGGAGCCCGGCGCAGCCTTGCCAAGGAGCGTCGCCCGCTTGGGAGAGCGGGTAGATGGAGCCTCGATCAGATAGCACGCGGGGCTTGGCTGGGCAGCTCGGCAGCAACAGCCGACTGAATTCGGCAATCGGGGAGGCCTCCTGCGGAGCAGGGAGCCATGAGCCGCAGGAGTCCCAAACATAGCCCTTCCCGTTTGCACCTCCTCCTCCTCCTCTACCTCCTCCTCCTTCGCCTCCTCCACTTCCTCCCCGTCCCCACTTTCCTCCCTCCTTCCCCTCCCAGTGCACGGCAGCGGGATGGGTCGCAAGCCACTCGATAGCAAAACACAGCAAACGCAAATCGATTCTTGAAGTAGGAAGGCGCTAGAAGTAGACTGGGATGTAGGATTCTATAAATAGTTCAGCGACCGGCGTGTAAGTAGTGCCCTCCTCCGTCCCCACCGTCGCCTCGAGTCCAACATGCAACCATGTATGTTTGAGTGTTGCAGCCCAAATCGGAAGATGCGCCAAAATCGAAAGTTCGCGCGAAACCTTCTATGGAAACTTATCCCACGGCGTCTATAACCCCACAAAGCGCTCGCGCGATTGTGGTGGCGGATTCGGGCGGCAGCGCAACTGAGTAGCTATGGACGGGTAGGTCGATGGATACGACAAGCTCAGCACGAGAAGGCAGAAAAGACGCCAAGCAGCGCTAGGACATGAAGTTTGAACTGGTATCGTTTCCTTCGCTGTTGCGATGGGGATCGACTTACTATGCCTCTCTAGTGGCTGAGCCTTCATGTTCCCAACTTAGCCGAACGTTAAACATGGGGGCGCTCGCTTGTCGGCTGTGGCCATGAAGAACAAATCGCGCGTGATCGAGAGTGGCCTCGTGATCGCGGTGCGCACGTCATGCAACACATTTCGGATAGCAAGGGCCGGAGCCCTGGGGAGTGCCAGGACGCATGGCAACGCAGAAGAAGCCAGAACCTCTGCCAGCGCCAAGGGCCCTATACGTATGTGATAGCCGGAGCAGTGGGGCCAAGCGAGGCCGAATCCGAGCCGGCGACGCGCGCGAAGGGACACAGTAAGACCGCTCGGACACCCCTCACTCTGATGATAAGGATGATGACAAGCAAGAGGAGCACCTGATTGCGGGCGGCTCGCAGCATCGTCCTGCATTCCGAACGGCAGAATCACCGACGGCTACCAAGCAGACCGCAATGCCGAACACCCGCTCCCACCTGCTACAGCTCAGACTTGGACCTGGAACAGCACGCATAAGTGTAGTACACCATCCCAGTGAACGGATTCACGCTGCAAGGGTCTTTTGGCTCATCCAACCCCACCGCAAACACGTCATTCCCCTCGCACTTGTGCCCGCAACAGTCGTGATCCACCTTCCATGAATAAGTCAACGGGTCCCATTCGCGGCAGGCCTCTGGACGCGCCTCTGTGCCCTCCGGACACTCGGCGCGCGTGTAGCGGATCGGATTACTGGGAGTGCCCGGGGAAAGCGTCTCCATCCGCCAGACGCGGTCGGCCCTGTGGTGCGGGTGGTTGGTGGCAATCTGCAGAGCGTCCTCTGGAAGACTTGGCCCAAACACAGCATACGCATACAATGTCAGATGCCTGTCCAGATGATTCGGGCCGGCGCTGGAGCTCCCTCCGCTGGCGCGCGGGGCGCGGCAGGGGGCGGCGCCAGAGGTGCCGCCAAGGGTGTTCCGGCGCTGGCCCAAGAAATCCGCGCGGACCTCAGAAAGTCGACTGTCAGGAACTTTCGCCTAGCGTATCGCGGCGGAGTCTCTGGCGACACGCTATGCCCTGCAAGCGGATAGCGTTTCGCTCCGCTCCGCGGGGCGGGAGTCTGGGAAAAGCTCGGAAAGGCTCGGAACGGCAACGTCGGACGAGGTGAGCGTGTCGCGCCGAGGCGTGGTAGCCCAGAAGCAGCCATGGGACACGCTCAGCAAACGTTCCCGACCAGGCCTGCAAATCCTGAACCTGGCGGCGCGCACGAAGGGGTAGGGGGAGGGGAGAAAGGCTTCTTATAAGCAGGCTGCTTCTGACCAGGCGCCAGCCTTACATCTACAGACAAGGCCCGCGCCTTCTAGGAAGCAGGGGTGATTCTAAGAAGCCTCCCCCCTCCCCCTGCCCTCCCTCCGCGCGTGGCCGACGGACCCTGAAGGATCGTCGTCTCTTGGGGCACAGATTTTTGCTTCCGTCGGCTTCTACCACCGCGGTTTGCTCCCACCGGCCTTCCGCCGGGGACGACATGTCCGCCGGGGGGGGGCCCTGTATCGAGCGCCTCGTATGCCCAGAAGGCCCAGGGGTCGCTGGGAACTAGCTTCCTCCCATAAAGACCCATACCCTTGCGAAACTCGATTGATGCTACTTGCTTGAGCTGTAGCTGCGGAATGTCCCACGTTCACACAACAAAAAAATGATGCAATGACAACGCGACGTCGCCGGAATTACTGCACAGGTGCGAAATCCTCCCAGAGCCCTCCTAAGAAAAGCCCTCCGAAAATCCCGTCGGGGAGGGTTTCCGAAGGGTTTCGGGGAGGTTTGTAGCCGTTGCGGGAGAAAAGCCAATCCCTAGCGAACTGTAGACTTTCTAGACATGTGCTTTCCCTGCGATCCAACGTAGCTGAAACATACAACATCGCGAACAAAACACGACCAGAGCCGCAGACCTCATCTACATCCTGCGCCATGTTTCGAGCCGCGTCGATCTGTGAGAATCCCGGGCCCGACGCAAGGCAACAGCGCCCAGGGTGAACAAAATTACCACGCCTGGATCTTAGGGTACGCTCGCGTGTCTTGGGGACACAGAAGGTACCGATACCGCTGCTCTACAAACCTCTCCTGGATTGCGTTCTGGCCAAAATTTCAAAGAGAATCCAGCGGTGGCTACGAGGGCCTCCCAGGAGGCCGGAAAAAGGTGAAAACGACGCAAGGGTACCGGTATGGGTACCTTTGCCTCATTCGATTTCTTTGCCGTTCCCCGAAGCCTCCCCGGGAGCCAAAGCGCCAGCCCAGACACTCCCGTCGCAGCGGAAGGGCGGGTGCTGCGCCTCGGACGCCGCAGGCCGGGTGGTGGCGAGGCCCACCTTGCACACCTCGTCGTCGGCCTCCAGCCCGAACCTGGTGCGCCGCTCCCGCGAGGTCGAGTCGAAGACGCAGGTGGTCTGAGGAGCCCGGTTCTTACTGTTCGCGGTGGCGCACGTGACCGACTCCGCCGCTCCCCCCTCCCGCCTCCCCTGGGTCACGCCGCGATTCGCGCCAGCGCCGCAGCGCCGTCCGGGAACTGGCCAATTCCCATGCGGCGCCGGCACGAATCGTGATGTGCCCAGCCCGCCCAACCCCCGGCCCCCGCGTCACGCCCGTTACGGTCGGACCTAGGACAGAAGAACATCCTTCAAGAACATGAGGCCATCCGCTGGCCCAAAGTGAAGAACATCTAAGGGTACTACCCTCCCCCAAGATGCACAAAGACGTTCAACAAACACGAAGAGTATCAAAGGGTACCCTCCCCGAGCCAACCTCGATCTTATGCCTCGGTCGGACTGCACCGCCAAAGGATTAAACACACACGCTGTCTCGAGTTTGTCGGGGAAGAGTCCGAAGCGGGCGGCTACACGGCGCCACCTGGCCCTGGCCCTGGGCCGGTGCGGGGCCCCTGGCATTGATGGGGGGGGAGGAGGAGGAGGAGGAGGAGGAGGAGGAGGAGGAGGAGGAGGAGGAGGAGGAGGAGGAGGAGGAGGAGGAGGGAGGAGGAGGAGGAGGAGGAGGAGGAGGAGGAGGAGGAGGAGGAGGAGGAGGAGGAGGAGGAGGAGGAGGAGGAGGGGGAGGAGGTGGAGGAGTTGGAGGACGCGGGCTCTAAGCGAATGTGCGCGGCACTAAGGCGAGAGCCACGTTTTGAAAAGGAACCGTCCTCAATCCGTGAAACACTTGCAAATTTTTAAAAACGAATGTTTGCGGTGCTAAGGCGTGAGCCACATTTTGAAAACCACCCGCCCTCAATGCGGGAAAGTTCTTGCACATGTTTGAAAACGAATGCGCGCGGCGCTAAAGCGAAAACCACAGCTTGAAAAGGAACCGCCAACATCCGCGAAACTCTTGCATTTTGTGACAACGAGTGTCCGCGGCGCTAAGGCGAGAACCACATGTTGAAAAAGAACCGCCCTCAATCCGTGAAACTCTTGCAATTTTTACGAAGTATGTTCGCGGCACTTGGGCGAGAGCCACATTAAGAAAACCAGCCGCCCTCAATCCGTGAAGTTCTTGAACGAATGTGCGCGGCGCTGAAGGCGAGGGCCACATTTTGAAAACGGCCCGCCCTCGATCCGTGAAATTCTTACAAATGTTTAAAACGAATGTGCGCGGCGCTCCGACGAGAACCACATTTTGAAAACGACCCGCCCTCAATCCGTGAAAGTTCTTGCACATGTTTTAGAACGAATGCGCGCGGCGCTAAGGCGAGAGCCACATTTTGACCCCCCCTCCATCTGTGACGCTGTTGTCATTTTTCATGCTTCAGAATCATAAATGGTGAGGAGGTCTCAAGCGAAATGCCCGGCGCGCCCTAAAAGCTGGCCTCGGGGTGCGACAGGGAAAACTAATTTACAAGGAAAAGGAATGGAGGAGGTTGAGGAGGAGGAGGAGGAGGAGGAGCAGGAGCAGGAGCAGGAGGAGGAGAAAGAGGAGGAGGAGGAAGAGGAGGAGGAGGAGGAGGAGGAGGGGGAGGAGAAGGAGGACGAGGAGGAGGAGGACAGCCATCGCATCGAGCTGCCACAGGGAGCGCCGAACAGGGAACGACCGGGCTCTTCATGGCCACGGTGGGCCCCGGCCACGAGCAAGCCCCCCGACCACGGCTCCGAGGAACGGCCCGAAAACCAGAGCCACATCCCCAGCCCGAAGGAGCGCGTTTCCTCATTTTCGGCGAGAATGGGCATTTTGAAGGGGGCGGGAGGGGCCAGGGGGGGGGGTACATATAATGCAGCACCTCCCCCCCGCCCTGTGCCCGATGCGCACGGCGGCAGTGCCCGGAGCGCACTGGGGGGGAAGGAGGGCCGTTACGTTATAGGGGGGGGGGGTCGGGCGCTATAATGCCCATTATGCCCCAAACAATATAAAAAACACGCTCTTGCCTCATTGTCTGGGCCCTCTTTTGGGGAAACCAAAAGTACCGATACCGCTGCAGTCGGCCCGTATCATAAGGATGCGCGAGAAGGATGCAAGGGCCCTGGACGTCCATTTTTCGAAGCTCTTCGGGCGGGGCGCGGCCAACGTAAGTGGCCAAGGATGGGCCGAGGCGGCAAAGATGCGAGGGTACCGTTGGGAAGGTTGCCCATCCTTCTTCTGCGGGTTGGCTGAACTCCCCGGACTTCTCCCGGAGGCGCGTTCTGACCAGAATTGCAGGCGAATCCTGCGGTGGAGCGAGGGCCTCCTATGGGAGGCCCAAAATAGGGGGAAGACGAGGGAAGCGTAGCGGTATTGGTACCCTTGCCTCCTCTCGTCTCTCACGACGTTTTGCACCCTGCTCGTCGAATGAATGAGGGGGCGACAAGTGCGGGGGGGAAGGAAGGCGTCCTCTGGGGGCCCTCTAAAGGGCCCCCTTCCTGCAGCCCTCGCTGCCCCCCCCCCCCCCCCTGTGCATCGCCCCCCCTTGCGCGTGGCCCCGCCCTCGGCGTCCTCCCCCTTCTCCGGGGGGGCGACCCTCCGCCCCAGAGATTCGCAGTGACGGACGGCCCCGTGGCCCCGGGTAGCGGCACCTGCAGGAGGCCGCGAGCGGCGCCAGGCCGGCCGTCGCGATATCTTCTTGCTCGACGCTTCGATCTAACCAGCCTCGAACTGATCCCAATCCTTAAGATCGGCGAGCCCAAGGCGATGACAATCTTGGGGATGTGCCCTCATAAACGGAGGGAATCTTTAAGATAAGCACCGAGATAAGGCGATGCCAAACATAGGGACAGGGACATACTTCCAGCTGCCAAGGATCCAGCGACTCCGAAAGGTGAGAGCGACGATCAAAAACGGGCCTCACGCGAGATGGCACAGCGACCTTACAGCTTACGCGGGCCGCCAGCGCGGAGCGTTACTTTGGAGACGAGGGCGCTTGCGCGCGAGCGTACCGCGGGCAGCTTGCGCGCCCATAACGGTGAAAACGACCCCGTTGTTCTGCGTCGCCCAGGTGTGGTTTGCAAAGGGTCCGGATTCCAACTGGCACCCTGGGGGCACCCTGAGGGGTCGGGTGAGGACCTCGATAGAGCTCTCCGCCGCGCCCCGAGGAGGCCCGACGAGAACAGTGTCGTGCTCCCCGGGCCCCAACGGTGCCGATCGCAAACCACACCTTGGCGTAACCATACCATTTGTAGTCGCCGACAGATGGGGATGCTGACGACAAGCAGAACATCGGCGGCGCGACGGGGGGGAAGTGAGAGGGGGCAGGCCTTCTCAGAAGGCGGCGGGGCCTTTCAGAGGCCCTCGGGCTTTCTAAGAAGCCGTCACTGTCGTCGAATAAGGCTCAGGCACCTTCACAGAGAAGGCCGGTGGCCTTCCGAGCCTTCTGAGAAGGCCCGCCCCCTCTGCACATCCCCCTGGGCTCGCCGCCGAGGGGAGGCTGAGGATAAGCAGAAAACGGCCTGGAGCACGTCCCCCGCACGTATGGTGAGGTGGCGGCCCAGCAGCGGGACCACCGCCCGGTCGGAGTGGTTCCAGGAGCCCGTGCTCCACCTGAGGGTCCGGGGCAGGCCCCCCCCACCGGTCGGGGCGAAGGGGGGGTCAGCAACGGGAGCAAACAAAATCGAGCGGACGGAACCACTGCTCGCATCTGTTCGAGTGGCCCCACGGTCAGGAAGTTTGCGTGTCGCGGCAGCAGCCCAACGGCGACACGCTCAACTTGACGCTATACCCTGCAAGCTGGCAGCGGGCAGCGTGTCGCCCCGCTCAGCGGTGCGGGAGGCTTAGAAGAGCCGTGGACGTTCATGCCTGCAGACCGGGACGTGGTTAGCGTGTCGCGCCGAGGCGTGATGGGCCAGAACTGGCGGCGCGACACGCTAATCAAGCCAAAGTTCCTGACTGAACCATCTGGCCGGCGATGACCAGAACTGGCAACGCTTGGGGCATCGGCCCGCAGGTCGGTTGCTGGCTAGATCTGCGTGCGAGCAGCAGCACCACCATCGAGAGCTGCCAGGGAGGATCCTCCTGGTGGTGTGGTCCCCCTGCTTGTGGGTGTCCCGCTCGAGAGATGCACAATCATGGACCTCCTCGCTGAAGGTGGGCCGCTGGTGGTGGTGGGGTCTCTTCTCCTCCCTCCTGGGCAATCTGAGGTGATCGAGTCAGCCGCACGCAGCTGGTCTTCCCACAGCCTTCCGGCGCTGGAGGCGGCCACGGCATACGAGGACATGGCCCGTCGGCGAAGCAGAAACCAGCCGCATGCAGCAGTTCACTTGCCCACTCCCTTTCCCCGTATCCCCCGTTTCGTCCGACCCGAGTCAAGGCCCCGTGAACGGGGGTCCTGATCAACCACCACGCTGGCGCACCCAGGAAAAATGCAGCGGTGGGCTCTCCTGCTGGATCCGGCAGAGCCTGGTCTGGAAAGTCTGGGGCCCCGACAGCGCCCAGTGGCCCGCTCTGGAAGCCCCCGCACCCCAAAATGCCCACACCTTTTTGGCTTGGAGGGGACTGGGCGTCCCACAACAGTGCGGTGCGAAACCATGCGGTGAATTCGGAATCCAGAGAGACGTCACCGTACGGTCTGTGACCGCACGGTGTTGGGGGCTCCATGGAGGCCCCAGCCGCCCGCCGCCCGAGACGTCCTCGGAGAACGACCCATGCAGTGACCCCGACTCCCCGACTCCCCACTGACTCGACCACACGGTGTGGTCACCGCACGGATTGGAGGCCCCCGAAAGTGGGGGGACAACAAGGAGCAAATACCTCTACTCCCTGGACCTCTCCTGCGGTGCATTCTGACCAGGGCTTCGAGGCGAACGCAGCGGTGGCGACGAGGGTGACGAGGGCCTCCCGGGAGGCCACAAAACGGGAAAACGAGGGAAGGGCAGCAGTATCGATACCCTTTCCTCCTCTGAGAAAGGTCGGGGACGCACTGACCTGCGTCAATGCAAGCCCAGGCCAGTCGGGCTCTGCAGGATCCTGCAAAATCCTGCAAGGTCTTGCAGAATCCTGCACGCGGACACGTGTCAGTGCACCCCTAGCTCTAGAATCCTGCAAAATCCGGCGCTCTGGCTGACCCCCGTTTGCACTGACCCCCGTCTCGAGGCTCCCGACGAGGGGGGGAGGGGCATCTCGCTTCCGCCAGGTCTCCCGCCGGCGGGGCCGATCTCGCGTCACCCCCGCCCCGCCCCTCGCCATCGCTCGGACGTCCAGTCCCTTTTGCATGTTTCGGTTTCGTGCGCGCATTTGTTGCGCAAATTCTTCCGCTTCTGAGCGCCTACCTCCTTTTCCCTCCGCGCGGCCGCCCTCTCCTCCCTCTCGTTCCCCTGCACGCTGGACAACTTGCCTAGCGGTGCCCCTGATTAGCCCGACGCTGGTGCGGATCGCCTCCGCCTCGCCGCCGACGAAACAAACATATGTGCTGCGCAAGGGGGACAAAAGTGCTCCTCAAAAGAAGGCGCACGTCCAAGCGATGCCGAGGCCCTCCGCTGGCCCCATTTTAGGAGTGGGGGCGGCCCACATCGTCTCCGCAGCGCCGCCCCGCGTCAGCGTCGCGTGGACCTATGCGGGGCAAGGTACAGTAACTCGACCACAGGAAACCCTCCACAAGAAACCCCACCCTGAGACCCCGGGACGTTTCTTGGTTTTTGGTGTGGGCATCACGCCTTCCATGGCAAAACCATCGAAACCCAAGGCACCCTGGAGGCAAGCAGGGTGTTTCTTGGCAAGGGTTTCCACTGCAAGACGGAACCAGGGCGACGATAGGATCGGGTGGGGATAAACCGAGAGTCTCTGAGAGCCGGCGGCTCTGGAGGATGTCTCGGGCGGCACGGCCTTCTCAGAGCGCTCCAGAGCACTCTGAGAGTGTCCCGGGATGCTCTGGAACGGACGTATTCTCGTCCTAGCCCCGTCCGACAACGATGGGGTGGGGGGGGGATCGGCTCCAGGGGGGAACACCGCCGACCTGGAATCGGCGATGCATCGCCGATGAATCGGCGATGGATCCCGAATAGCGAGGCCGCACGCTCCTGGACGGGGTGGGCTGTCGGGCCCCCGTCTAGGGGGGACAAAGAGGCACCGATACAGCTACTCCCCGGACCTATCTCGGGGTGTGTTCTGACCAGAAGTTGACGGTGGCGACGAGAGCTTCCGAGGAGGCCCCCAAAAAGGGAAACGAGTGAAGGGCACTGTAGCGGTATCGGTACCTTTTCCTCCTCTATAAGACGAAGCCAGGGCGAGGATAGCATCGGGTGGGGATAAGCCCAGAATCTCTGAGAGCCGGCGGCTCTGGAGGATGTCTCGGGCAGCGCGGCCTTCTCAGAGCGCTCGAGAACGCTCTGAGAGGCTCAGCATGACCACCCGCTACGACTACAGCCGCGGGAGGGCGGAGAGAACTAGGCCTCGCTCAGCCAGTGGTAAGGCGTCCGGTTGCGCACAGTTAGCCCCCAAGTCGCTGGCTGGCATCATCAGGCCCCACGAGTAACCGCAAGCCCCAGAGAATGAATCCCCCCCCTCACCATTGAGAGTTGATTCTCTCCGGCCAATACAGAGTTGGTCGGGGGAGACTCTGGAACGGATGCATCCTCGTCCCAGCCCCGTCCGACTCTAACCGTCGGCGATCAGCGGGCGATGAGGGGTCGGTGCGTCGCCCCCTGAGCCTATCCTGAGGTCGGGCATGTCCTCCTCCAAGGCAACGCTAACAGCGATGTTGCTTCACGGTGATGTTGGATACCGAGTTGAAGGAAATTGCGAACCACACTTTCCTACATTTCCAACATGCGGATGTGTCGAACAAAAACGGAACAGCGAATTGTAGGAAAGCACCAACCGCGCCTTCCAACAATACCGACACCTACATCGCCGTTACCTGCATCACCGTTGGTGTGTCTACGGCTCCTAGAGGCGGATTTTGGAAGAAGAATAGAACTAGTCGAACAACCATCAAACATACTTAGACAGAAGCGCACGATCAATCGTCACCAGACTAACTTTTTGACCACTCCTGAATGCTCCTCCTGCAGAGGGACATGCCCGGTTGGCGCCGATCCCCCCCCGGCGGGACGTGGCCCGGGAGCCTCGCTCCCGAGGGACAGGGTCCGGAGCCACGCGGACACCACGGGCAGCTCGTCGGCCCCGCCCAGCGCTGGGCACCCGGAGCCGCAGGAAGCAGGGCACAGGAAGCGCATCTGCAGCCGCACCTGGGGCGCGGGGCGGGCCCCGAGGACGATGACGAGGAGGACGAGGACGATGACAACAAAGAGCCACGACAATAAGCGGGTCTTGCGCGACATGGCATAGCGACCCTGCGCGGCGGCTTGCGCGCGCCGACGGCGCGGCACGCCACACTTGGTGACGACGGCGCTTACGCGCGACCCTGCGCGGGCAGCTTGCGCGCGATGTTTTTCCAATCCGGCGGTGGTTCCTGGATTTCGGCCTCCAGGGCCCGCCATCGGGCCCGGGGAACCTCAAACAAAAATGGGTCCAGGACGAGATGCAACCCCCAGGGAAGGGGTCGGGACCTCTGGTGCCGCGGATTGAAAAAATCAGATCGACGGATGTCTGGGGGTGATCGCGAGTCGGTCGGCTCGTGGGTGCCAGCGCGCCCATGGGTGGGGGGACGAGCACCAGACACTGGCCACCCTCCTGAGGCACGGCGGCCGACAGGCCCCACGGTGAGGTGGAGGGCAACTCCCCAGCATCATCCCTGGCGATCCGTTGATCGAGCTCCCACTCCGCTCGACAAGCGGGGGGAGGGGGGCTGGGGGAGGAGGGAGGGGGAGAAGGGAGGGTGGGACTCATCAATTGGACCACCAGTACGTCGGGAATGCCCCCTGAGGCGGTCACCGCCCCGCCGCGAGCGCCGCCACCCCGGAGGCCTTGTGGGCCAACGCGGCGGGGGTGGCGGGCTCGCGCCCGCCGCGGATGCGCCTGCGTGCATGCCCGCGGGGAAGGGGTGGGGAGGGAGGGAGGCGAGGGAGGGAGGTGAGGGAGGGGGTGGGCGCGGGGAGCTGCGAGGGCCTCTCGGGCAAGCCCCAGGGGTGCACACAGGAGTGCGGTGCGCTCGCACCGATGACGAGAAGTGCGCTTCTGGCAGGGTGGCGCGGCGCTCGGTCGGCACGCCCGGCGGCGATGACCAGGACCACGACTGAGCGCGAAAACGTCGGTGTCGATCGTGGCCACCGTTCGCATAGGTCATCGTCGGCTCGTGTGTCATCCTCGCCAATCTGCGACGGCCGGCATGGACCACGACCAAGATCGGCGTAAACTAGACCGACGACACCTTGGCCATGGCCACATCGTGCTTCTACCCTCGACGCTCGCCGTTGGCCCTCCTGGGCTGTCGCTTCGAGCCGCGCGGAGCGCGACTACGGCCAAGCTGATTGGGATGTGCGGAATCTTGGAGCGTACCATAACCCCCGCAGTTGTGGATCAGAGTGAGGGGGCGGCGGGGTCGTCGGCACTCTGCGAGGGTCGAACAAAAAAAAATTATACAACGAGCCCACCGCAGGCACCTAATTTTTGTAGATGCGAGTGGGTCGCGGGTGCGTCGCGGGTGGGTCGCGGGATGGGTCGCGGGGTGGGTCGCGGGTGGGTCGCGGGGTGGGTCGCGGGCGGGTCGCAGGCGAGCACGACAACAAGAAGCAAACAAACAAACAAACAAATACACAAACAAGCAGAATCGGCGCCGAGGAACACGGGGAAGGTGAATGACCGTTCGGCCGCATTACTCTGAACATGGCCTCTTGCTCTTCCGGAGCACTGCGCAAGCAGCAACGTAGCGGCGCGCGGCAGGGCCAGCAGGGCTGGCAGAGCGGTCTCATCCGACCCACCGAGGCGAGGGCTCAGACGAACAAAACATTCAAAAATGATTAAAGCATGTTAAAACAGATTCAAAACCTCGTCCCCAGACTATGCTTTGACCATTTGGGGAATATTCCTCCTGTGGAGGGACGTGCCCTAACCCCTGCCCCTCCCCCCTCCCCCCGACAAGAGGGACCGTGGAAGTGCGGCGCGAGGGGAGCTCCCAGGGACGGACCGGGCTGTCGAAGGAGGTGTGCAGGCCGTGGGCCGCCAGCATGGCGGCGTCGATCCTGATGGGTCCATTTCCCATCACCACTACCACAGGTAGGAGAGGGAGGAGGAGGAGGAGGAGGAGGAAGAGGAGGAGGAGGTGGAAGAGAAGGAGGAGGAGGCGGAAGAGGAGGAGGAGGAGGAGAAGGAGGAGGAGGAGGAGAAGGAGGAGGAGGACCTCCTCATCCTCCCTCCTTTCCCGTCCTACATATAGTAGTGGTGGTGGAACATTTGCCCATCAGATCCCTGGCTTGGTGCACCAACCAGCCGCCCTCATCTTGTCGCAGGTGCCCACCGCGTACTTGCGCCCCAGGAGCATCAGCCAGTCCTGTCGTTGCAGCTCTTCCTCGCTCGCGTCTCGGCAGCCGTCCACCACCTCGCAGGTCCTCGTCACGAACCAGCGGCGGACGCCGGGAGGAATCCACATGGTCGGATTGTCGTGGTTCCCGACGCCGTAGGGCATCCCCGCCCACAGCACTGGGGTGACGTCCATGGTCTGCTCGCGGGTTGTGGGGGTGTAGAAGACCCTGATCCCGTCCCGAACGACGGTCCCAGGCTGCGCATCCTTGAAGAACACGCGCAAACGGATGCCCACGATGCCAACCCCGACGCCGACGGGGATGCCCGCGTGCGTGGGCATGTCCCACAGGACCATGCCGGGCAGCCACCACAGTATGTGCGGGTTGGAAGCGTTCATTGACCACGTGAGCCCACCCAGCGGCCGGTCACAGAAATCAGGCACGTCCGTGCTGAAGATGAGGTAGGGCTTGCCCTCCTGGGGAGGGGGTGGGGAGAAGGGCACGGAAGAGAACGACGAGCCGCATTCTCGGGACGAGCTGGGCGAGATCCCTTTTGGCAACGCCTCCCCTCCGAACGCACTTGCTGGACATCTTGGAGGCTCTCCGTGGTCTGTTGGCTGACGGGCCTGCAGCAATGTCTTTGCTGTGGTCCTCCTCCTCCTCCTCCTCCTCCTCCTCCTCCTCCTCCTCCTCCTCCTCCTCCTCCCCCTGCGGCTCGGGGCTCTGCGGCTCGGTCATCCGTGGCACCGCACGGCCACGTGTTGAGCGTCAAGCAGCTGGTCCGGGTCCCCACTGGCAGCCCCACTGGCCAACTTTCCCCCCCAGTTTTAATTGTGGAAACATCGTCCCCATATTATGTGTTGACTATGTTTGAAAATATTCCTCCTGTAGGGGGACAGGCCCGACTGAACCCAAGGTGGGGATATATGATCTCTGCTAGTAGAGAGAACCAGTTATCGTGTTGGGAGGTCGGGGTTGGGAAGATGCAGGGCACGACTGTGAAACAAGCCCCTTTCATCATACACAGTAAAATGGATGACATGATCATGTCTCCCAACCCCACCCTCCCAAACGCGATAATCAACTTTCTGTGCTATTCCCGTCAGGTCTGGCGGGACCAATCCCCACCTCGGGGTGGGCTGGTGGGTCTGGGCTGAGATACAATGGCCCAGTGGGGGTGGGGATCGGCTATACAAGAGGCCTCCTAGATGGGGTCGGAATAGCTGGCGTCGGAGGATCGTGACGCATCGCCCATGCATCGGCGATGCATCGCTGGTCCATTGGCGATGCACTGGCGACTTTGTTTCCAAGCCTAACATGGCTACAAGACGAGAGACAAAGAGGGATGGAAGGGACACACAACACAGGACCACCAGGGCCTTCGGGAAACAACGTCGGCGATACATCGGCGCTGTCGGCGTGGAGACAATCTCGAACCGGAGCTGCATTGCCGATGCATCGGCGATGCGGCGCGATCCGCCGACCCCATCTGCTCGGACCCCATCTGGGAGGCCTAGATCGACGATGCTGACCATGGCCTCCTGCCTCCCAAACCCCCGACGCCATGTTATGACCACATGAAGTCGACACCCACAAAGGCCTCGACCCATTCCCTGGAACCAGCTTCTCATCCTGAGTCGTTGTTTGACGGTTCTGGGGCCAGACAGGACACCTGGAGGCCGAACACGGCGAAAAAGCTTCCCGCTCGGTGTTTCATGACCCGATGGGTGTCTGGGCTCATTACCCTCTGGGCTGTGGGCCTCCTTTGGCGGCGCGAAGAGAGGGGTGGCGGAAGGGAAGAATGCTTCTTAGAAGGAGGCTGCTCCTTAGAAGGCACTGGCCCTGAATCTACAGACAAGGCCCGCGCTTTCTAAGAAACAGGGGTGCTTCTAAGAAGCCCTTCCCCCTCCCTCTAACCCCATGCCAGGCGCGGCCTGACCGACCCCTAGCAAACTATCCCCTTCCGTGACGTCCTCCTCGCCTATGAGGCTCCCCTCTGGAAGCATACACATGCCTTGGGGCGAAGAGAGGGGACGCCACCCCGAGATCCGACGCAGCAAAAAAATGCATCGTAGAAAATCACGCCCGGAGCCCTAGACACCATCTTTCCGCGTCATCTTTCCAGCCGGATCGATCTGTGAGGGTCCCGGGGCACGAAGAAAGGCGAACACGCCCTACTCGAAAAAACTGAGGCGCCAGGATCTCAGGCCACGGAAGGGGATGTTTGGCTAGAGGTCGGTTCGGCCGCCCCTGACCCCTCCTGGCGGTGCACACAAAGGGGTGGAGGGAGGGGGGAGGGCTTCTTAGAAGGAGGCTACTTCTCAGGAGGCGCCGGCCTCACATCTATAGATGAGGCCCGCGCCTTCTAAGAAGCAGGGGTGCTTCTAAGAAGCCCTCCCCCTCCCCCCATCCCCCCTCTGCGCGTGGCTCTTTGGAGTCCCGAAACTGTGCGGTGACCGACCGTGAGGTGGCCTCGAAATCCCCCAAGACCTCACCGCACGGTCCGTCAACGCACGGTTTTGGGACCCCGGATGCCCCAGTCGCCCGAGACGTCCTCGGAGAACGACCCGAGTCCCCCAAAACCGTGCACTGACCCCGAATCCCCACCGACTCACCACACGGTGTGGTCACCACCCCGCTTGGGGGACCCCGAGGCTGACCCTGTGCGCGTGGCTGGCTCCGGAGAGGCCACGGCTCGTAGACCTCCTGCGGCCGTCGGTGGGCTCGCGGGCCCGCGTGGGCCTCCAACGATCCCCGCCGCACGCGCCAGCAATGTTCCAAGAACATGTGGTGCAGACCGCAAAAGGGTCTTAGAACATTATTTGGTAGGCCTATAGGCGAGCTAGGACGCTTCGCCACTGCTATATATGTATATATATACACATAAATCTATATATATATATATACACAGAAAAAGAGAGAGGAAAAAAAAGAAAAAAGAAAGAGAGAGAGAGAGAGAGAGACAGACAGAGATAAAGAGAGAGAGAGAGAGAGAGAGACGGGGGCCCCCTCGCGTCGTGAAGAGGCAGGCGGCGGCGGCCTGCTCGCAAGTTCCAGGCCTCTGGGAGCCCTCGCCGGGCCCCAGGATGCCGCCCGTGAAACGACTCGGTCGAGCATCCCCTGGGGGGTCGGCGTCGTGGGAACACCAGAGAGCGTCGGGGGCATGGACGAGAGAGGCCTCGTCTGCTCGGCGCCCCCGGGGCCCCTGCTGGCCTGTCTTCAGGGGGGCCTCAGGAGGGCCCCGGCTGATCGGGAGTCCGCCACGGTGGCCGGCTCCGCGTCGCGCCCCCCGCGTCGCGCATCCCCGCGCGGCGCGAAGGGCGCGCGAGGATCTCCGCGTCGCCTCGCGCCCTCGCCACGCCCCCTTGGAGGAGGGCAGCCCCTCCGGCCCAGGCCGCGAAGGGCGCAGCGTTGTCTCTTTCGCGCGCCACGGGGGGTGACCTGCCAGGGCCCGAGCCCGCTGCTCATGTGCGTGAGCCCATGCTCGGGCGGTGCAGGGCCGAAGCGAAGTGTCCCTGAGCGCAGACGCCGCTCGCCGTCGTGATAAGAGGCGCGGGGTGAGTTCCAGAGGACGTGGGATAAGTTATTTCTGTAGCGCAGACACGTGGAGTGAGTTCAGCCCCGACGGCGGAGCAAATGTATCCGTATGAAAAGCGTTGGCCGTAAAGGTTCACACGGTAGCGAACGTATCGAACCTAAAAGGAACCTGGGCCGAGACGTACTCCGCCGCCGCCAGACCACATGTTGCAGGAGTCTACGGTAGGTTCGTGTGGCGTCGGCACGCGCAAAGATTTTTGACATCGCGTCGATCGTTCAACCTTGAACCTGTCGCGGCCTCGATCGTTCAATATTGAATTCCGTCGGGTCCTGTGGAGTTACCGTGCCCCTCAGATCTTCCGCACACCTCCGCCGGCGCGCCATCGCCGCATGAACCTACCGCACGGGCGGAAGGGGGTCGCACGTCGCCTGGGATGGTCCACACTTTACGATCGCCACTGTGGGTCCTTGCTGGTCGGGCGGCTGGTCATGGGGGGGTGGCGGGGGGGTCCAAAAAGGGGGTGGAGAGAAGGGCCCCCCCTTTAGGTCACCCCCCATTACCATCGACCAAACGCGCCGCAAGAATGGCCCTATAGGCAAGAGTGACCAGGAGTGCGCAGCTGCCGGGGGGGCCGCGAGGGGGCCAACCCCGCACTCGCAAGACGCTGCTATCGCGTCGCGTTCGGCGGTCGGGGGGCCCCAGTGGGTCCGCAACGAAAGGTCACTTCGGCGAAGGGCCACTCTTACGTGTAGTCTTAGTTCGGGCGGATTTGGGACGAAAAACTAGAAATATCAAAGAAATATCCAAAAATGCTCCAGAATAGTCCAAAAATCGTCACTCGACAATTTTTCTAGTATTTTTGAACGTGCCTCCTGTACAGGGACAGGCCCGACTTACAGGCGGATTTTAGACGAAACATAACAAGTAGTCAAACGCATTGAAAAAAATACTAGAGAAATCGTCCCCAGGCTATTTTTCATTATTTTTTAATTTTTCCTCCTGTAGAAGGACAGGCCCAATTTAAGGCCAGGGGCTGGCTGTGCGACCTCTTTCGCGCAGCCTCGTCTCTGTGAGGCAAGAGGCAAGAGGCAAGGGGCAGCTCCCAGTTCGGCCCAAAGAACGGCCGCGCGTGGGGCCAGGAGGAGGTTCTCGTGGAAGTGGATTGGGAACTTACTTGTGGTGGGAAAGGGTGGGAACATATTGACGATTGTATGTGTCAGGCAACGAAATGAGCAGCGTCTCGTCTCTATGGGGGGGTGTATGTGGAAACAGCAAGCGACCACAACCACATCGAGGACGTTGGGGGATATTTGGGGCGTGCCAGCAGTCGTCAGAACACCAGAGCCAGCTCTGTAGTGCTTGTGATCGAGGTGGGCGTCCCGGACGGCCACGTCGACCAGAACCACAACTGATGTCTAAGACGAAGGAGGACGATGCCAGGACGAGGATAAATTCGGGTTAACTCGAGAATCTCTGAGATCCGGCGGCTCTGGAAGATTTCTCGGGCGCCACGGCCTTCTCAGAGCATTCCGGAACGCTCTGAGTGCGTTCCAGAACGCTCTGGAACGGATTTATCCTCGTCCTAGCCCCGCCCGGTCGTCTCTATCGGGGGGGGGGGGCAGCGACCGTTCCTATCGGGCAGACCTCGAAAGTTCTTTCTATCGGTCGAAACCCGGAGGAGTGGGCTGAGCTTGAAGATCGTTTCACCACGCCTGCGCGTAGTACGCCGCACACCCCTTGATTGGGACAGTCTGACTGCGCAAGACGTAAGTCGAGTCGCGGTCACGAGTCGAGAGTCGAGTCGAGTTGGCTCTACCGGGGGGGTGTAGTGACCGAAACTGTGCCCGAAAATCTGCCCACGTGTGACCCGAACTGGCGCCCGAATTTTTCCGAAGGCGCCAGGTTGTGACCGAAGTTCGTGGTTCGAAACTCTAGCTATGTTCAATTCCTGTTGCAATCTCGGTCAAGCTAGGTTTTCGGTTACAATTTCGGGCACGTTTGCGGTCAACGATTTTCCCGGTCACATACAGTTTCGGCTGATAGCGGCTGGGCACCATGACTTCTTGCCTCCGTGACTCCTGGTCGTCAGGCACGTGCTGCGAACATCCGGCCACGACGATCTCCCTCACGATCTCCGGGCGCTCTAACAATGCCTCGCCATACACTATGTGGTACACGGCGTGGTCAGTGTCGCGGAAGTTGAACACAAATTCGGCTCCATGTGTCTTGTTAGTCCAGCTGAACCTCGTCTCTTCGCGCTTCCTGTCTGCTGGGATCACGTAGTCCTTGATGACCATGTCAACTTGTCGCTGCTCCTCGCCTGCAGGCTGGATATACCCATGTGCACAACAACCTGCTCCAACATTCAGAAAGAGCTCTTACCCTGTGGTGCCCTCATGCTTTCTCTATAGTCCCACCAGCCTGTAAGGCGGAGGTGGATCAACGAGTTCGTTCTTCCGACGCTCTTAACGGGCTTTGCGGAGGGAGACCCATCACCCCTCTTCACTAGTAGACACCCCCTCCCTGAACCGACCAGGCCAACGACACCCCTCCCCCGCCACCCCTGTCAAAAATTGATACAAAGGGTACTCTGCAACAAAATCTGGACCATGCGCGGGCACCAAGCGATCACTTTGCACTGTCTTTTGACGGGGTCAAAGGGGGGCGGAATACAGTAGGGGCCCATCCACAAGAAACCTTCCACAAGAAACCCAACCCTGAAATCCCAGGACGTCCCTTGGATTTTGGCGTGGGGACGTCACGTTTTCCATAGTAGAACCATCGAAACTCAAGAAACCTAGGGCACCATGGAGGCAAGCAGGGTGCTTCTTTGCCTTCTGCGCGCAGGCCCACCATCCCTGTTTAAAATGTTGCGGCAAAATCTTGATCCTGCTCGGGCGCCCAGCGATCACTGTGCACTGTTAGTTGACAGGGATGATAGGGGCACGTTGGCATGCGCGGCGCAACTCGCGGGAGTCTCGCACCTGTCTGGCGTCTGCATTGGTGACCGATGATTGTCGATGGCGTCCCATGCTCATGCTGAGACGCCGGTGTTACTCATTTGGCGGGAGGCGGGTGGGTGGGTGGGCCCAAGAAGGCTCCAACAGGCCGCCCAAGAGGACCCCGCGATGCCCAAATTATTGTTTTTTTACACATGAAAGAAGATGTGAGCGCTCTCACGTTTCCAGGCCCCCGAAGAGGCCCCCCCAAAGGCCCCCAACAAGACTCCAGGAGGCCCCCAAAGGACCCCAAGAGGCCCCAAGAGGCCCGCAAGAACTCTCCAAGAGGCATCCGAGATGCATCCACGACCCAGGCACGGTGGGGGAGCGGGTCGAATGCCAATCCATTACATTAACACGCATGTAGATATATGTATATGTATACAAATACATACACATACATAAACATGTAGATGTGTGTGTGAGAGCTAACCAGCGTGCGACACGGCGTCCTTCAGGGGGGTAGCTTGATTACACTTGCTTGTTTACATAGACCCCCTCCCCCAACCGGCCAGCGACCAACTCACGACCATGTCGACCCACTCACGCCATCCCTGCCAAAAAGAAAATCGCATCTGGAACATGGGTCGCAAGCCCCACGGTCACTTCGCATTGTTCTTTTCCCAGCCCGACTGGCTACTTTCGTGCGGGGCTGCCCCTGTCGCCGCTTTCGTGGGCTCCTGGGAGGTCCAGCGGAGTCGGTCGTGACGCACACCACGTCGAGACCTCGCGGCTCCCTGCGTGACTGCGAATTGCCAATTGCGCAACTGTCGCCGCTTCCGTGGGAACCTGGGGTCCAGCGGAGTGGAATGGTACGCCGACCACGCTGGGACCTCCAAGAGGGCAAGATGGCTCCCAAGTTCGCCCAAGAAGGTCCAAGATGGCATCCATGACGTTCAGGAAGCCGCCAAGACGGTTGAAGCTGTCGCCAGGATGACCTAAGACGCTCCGAGACGCCCCCAAGAGGTCTCCAAGACGGCCCAAGAGGCCCCCAAGAAGGCCTCCAGGAAGGCTCGAAGAGGCGAAAACCATGGATGTGCCATTCGTGTTTGAAGGATTTTGGCATGTGCTTCTGTTCGGCCTTCCAATGGCCCGAGACGGCCCAAGAGCCACCCTAAGATGGCCCCAGGACGGCCCAAGACGACCCCAAGACGGCCCCAAGAGGGCCCCAAGACGGCCCTAGAGGCCTCCAAGACGCCCAAGATGGCCTCCAAGACGGCCCGAGAGCACGCCAAGAGGGCCCCAAATCGGCCCAAAGAGGCCCCCAAGACGGCGTCCGACGGCGTCAGACGGGCCAGGAATGCCCTAAGACAGCCAAAGAAGCGTCTGAGAAGCCCCACAGGGCCCCCAAGAGGCCCAAGGAGGCCCCCAAGATGCCTCCACGAGGCCCCCAGGAGGCTCCCAGGAGGCTCCCAGGAGGCCCCAAGAGTGCCCCCAGAGGCTCCACAGATGCCCCCTCCATTTTCTTCCTCTTCCTGACCTTCCCCGCCATCCTCTCCCAAGTGTTCCCCGAAGGGTTTCCACAACGGCTGGTGGAACACATGGTCCGATAGCATGGCAGAGCTCTTGCAGCAACGCTCGGCCACCTGGGCAATTCCGAAAGGCAGGGGGCGGCGGTGATTCGCCGTAGGCGTCTTCGATTCACCCCCCCTGTGTCTTGCCACAGGGGTGGCTGGCGTGGCAAACGTTTGGTGGTGGTTGGTTCTTGTCTCAAGAACTCCCCCTGGTGCTTCGGCCCATCCCGCCGGCTACCCTGAAAGCTCCACCAAATCCCCGGGCCAATGCCTTTCGCCCTCCAAGATGGCCTCAGATGGACTCCAAGATAGCCTCCAAGACGGCCAAGATGTCCTCAAGAGAGCCCAGAATGGCCCCAATATGCATCCAAGACGGCGTGAGATACAGCCCAAGATGGAGTCACGATGATCCATGACGGCCCAAAAGGCCCCAAAGAGGCCCCCAAGACGGTCCGAGAGGCGTCAAAGGGGTCCTTGATGAAGGCCCGAATGGTATTTGCTTCGTTTCGGCCTTCCGGCAGCCTTCCGACGGCCCAAGAAGCCCCCACGATTGCCAAAGGGAAGCCTCCAAGATGGCCCCAAGACGGCCCAAAAGGCTGCCAAGACGAGACCCAGAGGGCCCCAAACTGACCAACGAAGCCTCCAAGACGCCCAAGATGGCCTTCAAAACGACCCTGAAGCGCCCCAAGACGGCTCCAAGACGGCCCCAAGACAGCACAGATAAGCCCCCCCAGACGGCTTCTGACGGCGTCAGACGTGCCAGGAACGCTGTAAGACTGCCAAAGAGGCCCCCAAGAAGGCCAGCAAGAGGCCCAAGGAGGCCCCAAAAAGACCTCCAAGAGGCCCCCCGAAAGCTCCCAGGAGGGCCGAAGAGTGACCCAAGAAGCTCCCAGGAGATCTCCTCATCCTTCTCCTCATCCTTCTTTTTCCTCGCTCTCCTCATCCTCTTACCTCCCTGCGTGTTTCCCGAAGGGCTTCCACGACGGCTGGGGGAACGCATGGTTATCGTTTGGCCACAGAAGCGTATCCTAGAGGGCAGGGGGCAGCGGTGATACGCCTTGGGAATACTCGATCCGCCGCCCCCTGCGCCTTGCCACAAGGGTGCACAACGTGCTGTCTTCTTTGGTGGTTTGCGTTCGTTTAGAACCCCCCCTGGTGCTTCGGCCCAAGCCGCAGGCCATCCGGAACGATCCTCAACATCCAGAGCCCCTTGCCCAACTCGCACTCAAGAACGGCCAAGATGGCATCCAAGACGCCTCCAAGATGGCCCCAAGAGAGCCCAAGACAGTCCCTAGATGGCCTTTAAGACAGTCCCGAGATGATTCCAAGACCGCCAAGATGGTTCAAGATGGCCCAAGAAGCGACCACGAGACACCGAAGACGACCCAGGAGGCCTCCAAGAGGTCCTCCAGCAAGGTCCGAAGAGACCAACATCCTTGAGTGTCTTATGGCTTTTGAGCCCCACGACGGCCAAAGAGGCCCTCAAGACTGCCCTAAGATCGCTGAAGAGGCATCAAAGATGGCCCCAGGACGGCCTCAGGCCGGCCGAAGAGGCCTCCAAAACGCCCAAGGATTGCCTTCAAGACGGCCATGAAGTGCCAAAGACGGCCCCAAGACGGCCCAGAGAGGCTCCCACGACGGCTTTCGACGGCGTCAGACGGGCTCAGGAACGCCATAAGACCGCCGACGAGGCCCCCAAGAAGCCCTCAAAGGCCACCAAGAGGCCCAAGGAGGCCCCAAAGAGGCCTACAAGAGGCCCCCAGAAAGCCCCCTGGAGGCCCGAAGAGTGACCCAAGAAGCTCACAAGAGGTCTCCTCATTGTTGGTTTTGCTTTGTAATTGTTCTTTTTCCTCCGTCTCCTCATCCTCCTTTTCCTCCCCCACGCGTTCCCCGAAGCGCTTCCACAACGGCTGGGGGGGCCGCATTGTCAAATAGCGTGATCAAACTTTGCCCAAACGTTTGGCCACATTGGCGTATCCTAAAAGCCAGGGGGCGGCGCGAATGCGCCGTAGACGTCTTAGATCCACCACAGGGGTGCACAGCGCGCTAGATTTCGTTGGTGTGAACGTTGTTTTGCTGTTCCGAATGGGTTCTCGGCCCAGCCCGCCGGCCACTGAGGAGGATCCAGAAAGCCGAGTAGATCCACACAAAATCGCCCAAGACGGCCAAGGTGGCCTCCGAGACGACCAAGATGGCCTCCAAGCCAGCCAGCCCAAAGACGCATTCAGGACAGCCAAGATAACCTCCAGACGGTCCAAGAGACCCCCAACATGCCCCGAGAGGGCCCAAGACTCACGAAGAGGGCCCCAAGAGGACCTCCAGGAGGTCCAAATCATTGATACCCCATAAGTGTTCAAATGATGTTAGCCTTCTTGCATGTTCTGGCTTCCGACGCTCCACCACGGCCCCATAGGCTCCCAAGATCGCCACAAGAAGGCCTAAGAGGCCCCCAGGAGGCACGCAAAACATCCCAGGAGGACCCACGACGGCTCAAGAGGCCCTCAAGACGGCATCAAGACGGCCCCACAGACTTTCAAGACTCTCCTAAAACGTCCAACGAGGGGCCCACGGCTACCCAGAGAGGTCCCCAAGACGGCCACCGAAGGCCATGAGGTCCCTTAGAGGCTCATGGCGGCCCCCAAGAAGAACCCTAGAGGGCCCGGGAGGCACCTCCCTTTCCTGCTCCTCCGCCTCCTCCTCCTCCTCCTCAGTTTCCTCCTCCTTGCCCTCCTGCTTGTTTTTCTTCTTCTCCTCTTCCTGCTCCTCCTGATCCTTCTACTCCCTCTCATCCTCCTTTCTCTTCCTCCCCCAAGTGTTTCACCCAAGGGCCTCCACAGTAACTTGTCAAGAATTCGGCCAAACGTTTGGCCACACAGGCGTTTCCAAGAGACATGGGGCGGCGGTGGTTCGCCGCAGGCGTCTTCGACATATTTCACATCTCCCGAGAGTTCGCCTGGGAATCGTTGATGGATGCGCTGATGGGGATACGCCAAGCGTCAATACTTTATGTTGTTAGCTTGGCAACTATACTTATCACAATGCCCTGACAAGCAAATTTCCGCACGCACCCACATGCGCAAAAGCACGCGGTGTATACGTATACTAGAACCATCACGCGCGCTTCGCGCGCGCTCAAGCTCTAGCGCATACCGGCGGTGGTTCGTGGTTTTACAAGCGAGTGCGGCCGCTGGATCGAAGAGCAGACGGAATCAAAATCATTATCTCTGCCAAGTCAAGACCATGATCGTCACCGTCATCAAGCACAACCATCTTATGTCGTTTCTTAGGGCTCTCGCAGGACTGCTCTTGGAAGCATCTTGTGCCGTCTTGGAGGCCGGATGGACTGTGGGAAAGCCTTCGGGTCGTGTGCAGCGCCTCTGTAAAAGATTCGCACCGTTCTTGTTTTGTCTTGTGGGTCTATTGGAGCTCTTTTGGGTCGTTTTAGGGCCGTCTGGGGCGCCTCTGGAGCGCCTCGTGTGGAGTCTTGGGCTCTCTCTGGGGTGTGTTGGTTTCTTTTTGGGAGCGTCGGGGGCCATCGTAGTCGTATCACGTGGAGATGCAGGAACGGCAGACTAGGACAATCCTTCAAACACTATTTACAAACAAACAACACTTGTTTCTTGGGGCCGTCGTGGGGGTGCTCTTGGAGGTAGCTTGGGTCGTCTTGGAGGCCTATTGGGCAGTGGGAGGCCATCTAGGGCGTGTTGAGCACCACTGTCAGCGATTCAAGGCGTTCTTGGAGCGTCCCTGGGGCCGTACATCAAGTTACACTAAAGCATTGAAGACACCCTGTGAGGTACTGGAGTGTCGTGAGCAGCTCACGGCGAGCTAAAACTGATTTTAATGAGTACATCCAGGTTGGCACGGCCACGCTAAAGCAACCTGGCATATAAACAAAACATGGGAAGATCAGCTGACGGAAGACAGCTTCGAACACTTCTAGTGAAGAGGCCAATGGACAACCAACCACGATGTAAACGACTTGCCGTTGCCGTGGGTGGGATGCGTCTGATGTCGATGCCGTGGAGGCACGCCCCGATGATCAATGATATTGGAGCCGCTTGGTAGATTTCACTCGAAGCCATCACAACCGCGCAAAATCGGTTCAACAGGAATCAACACAAACGGCATGCATGTGGATTATGCTTCATCTGTAGCGCTTGCACGTTCTGAGGCGGCCCCTAGCTACGAATGTGGTGCACGCGATATGGCTTACCACTTAGGATAAACAAGTTGTTAACCTAGAAGCCCAGAGCCTCTCTCTGACAAGATCCGATGCTAGCGCTTAGCAAGCATTGGATGCACAACCTCTTGCACATGGATGAAGCTAGAATCTGGGCACGATTCCTGGCATATGGGGGTCGCAATGGAAAAGCAATGCTTCTCAATGGCTAGCGCAGATTTGCGTATACGGCTGGGTTGTTGCATGTGGGGCGAATCTCCAGCTACCCGTGGGTGTAGCCATGTATTCAAGTGTGCTGCGCACCAATTTCCAAGTTGGTGTATGCGCGCGCTTCAGGCCTGGATGACTCGCACATACAATTAGAAATCGGGGGCGCGCTAACCTGACTGCATTAGGCAGGGGCTTTAAATAACATGCTGTCAAATACTGTAATCCTCGTGTGGGGGAGCTGGTCTATGAGACAGGACGGCATTGGTGACACTTGCCCGTCTAATAGCTCCTGAGGTTTAGGGTCAACGCTCCTTGCCCGTCTGATCACCGTCGGCGAAGGACGCCGCCCCCCCAGCTGCAGCCGCCCACTGGATGCCCGCATCGCCGTTGCTGCCAGCGAGGACCTCCGCTGTCTTGACAGAGATCTTGGGGTCGCCGTCCCCGCTGCTGTCGCGGATCCGCTCTCGTGCAGCAACACCCTGCGCAGCGATGTCCTCGCCGGTGTCGGGCGTTGCCTCCTTCATGGAGTCATCTTGCAAATCCTCTTGGCCGCCACCGTGACGATCCGACATCTGCCCAGCTGCACCCTGCACTGGGTCACCTGGGACATCGTCACCGCTCGCCGCAAGCCTGGCATCAACCTCGTTCTGTGTATCGGTCCCACTTCGATCGGAGGTTGCCCGCACCCCAATGTCGTGCTCGGGGCTGTCCCTGCCGCCGTCTTTGTTCGCGATGGACTCTATGCCATCCTCCACCGTGACATCTCCGCCGCTGTCGCGGATCGCCGCGGACTCGGCTTCTGCCCGGCCTGCTATAGCGCCAATGCTGTGCATGCCATCACTGTCATCCTTTGCTGAATCACCTCGTCGTGCGTGAATCCTTCCTGCCGCCACCACGGTATCTTCCTTCCTCGGCGTGTCGCCCCCCCCTCCACTGTTGGTTGCCAACTGCCCAAGGTCATCATTGGAACTATCCGTGCGGCCGTCTTTGACCGCAATTGGGTCTCCACCGCTGTCCCGGATCGCCACGGGCCCAGATTCTCCAGGGCCTGTTATAACGTCAGCGCTGTGCATGCCGCCATCAGGGCCAGCCGCCTGTCCGAAGCCATCATTCAGGCCGCTTTCCCTGCTGCTGCTGCCCAGCGCTGGCCCAGCCTGGTCAACAAGGTCGCCGCCGCCGACACGGCGGCTGGCAGCTGGCTCACTGTCGCCACCCTGTGAATCAGGCTTGCCTCCACTGTGATCCGCCGCAGGTCGAATGCCGTCAGCCTTGTCACCACGGACACCGTCCTTCAGCGCATCACTGCCCCCATCGCCCGTGCGGGCCGCAAGCTTGGCGCCAACTTTCGGGTCACCGCGCGCGTCGCCACTGGGGCTCGCCGTAGGCCCGATGCCGTCCGCCTTATCACCGCCAGCATCGTCCTCCAGGGCTCCGCTGCTCCGACTGCCTGGGGAGGCACCTGGCCAGGCAGCGTCTTTCGGGTCGCTGCCCGCGCCGCCACTGGCGGTCGCCACCAGCCCGGCGCCGCTCTTTCGGGCATCGCGCCGCCTGTGGACTGGCGGGGGAATCCGGGAGTGGCTGAGGAAATTGGTTGATCAGGGTGGCAACTCCTCTGCCTCCCTTTTGGAAGGGCACCAACTGCTCGAGATACATCCTGTACATCGCTCTGGCCAGCCCCATCCTGGACAAAGGATCGGTGTATTCCAGCCTCCTGGCTTGGCCAGGGAGACATATACGCTCGTCCTGGGACGAGGATTGGCCTGGCACGAGGGCAAGAGGTACATGTATAGCCTTCCTAGCCCTACCACATCCCTTCCTCCTGCGGAGGTTCACCCCAGTCCTGAAGCCCCTTACTGTCACCAGAGAACATCTAAGGGCCCCGATGCTGCTGAATCATTTCGGCCCTGGCGCACCAGCAGTGTCATCCCGACCCAGGCCCTCGATGTGGCTATGTCTCCATGGGCGCCAGCGATGCAGCGATATTTCAAGAGCCATGTCGATTCGAAACGGAAATCCTCGATGTCCGCTGGCACCCGTCTGGTTCACCATACCGCGCGGCGAGTGCTACCTTTGCTATTTTACGTGTGTGCACCCCCCCCTTGTGAGAGGAAACGTGGGGCTTTGATCATATCACGGTGCTCTACAAATTGGCCACCATGCGTGCCCCATGACGTTAACCCAGCAAGTAAGATCCTGGTATACCAACCTCGGAGAAATAACTGGATGCTCATTCTGGGGACTTTCCTCGAGACACTCGCTCCACTCGTGCGTCGAGCCTGCGTCGAATGTCGGTCGATTCGAGTAGAACCTGAATCGAACCTGAGTCGAACTTGAGTCGAGCTTGAGTCGAACTGGGGTCGAACAAATCAGTCAGGTGGGCCCCAGGAAGGCCCCGAAAACGAGCATCTAAAAATCAGGATGCAACTCCACGTCCACGCGCGGACCCCCATGCCCAGACGGGGCAATCCATCTTCCATGAATGCGACTGCGACCACCGCTGCGGACACCGACCAGGCATAGCCAAGACCATGTGGGCAAGGCCTTGGCCTCAGAAATCTGGCGCGCCTGGACTCGAGGCCATCTGGGGCCGTCTTGGGTGCATGTTGGGGCCATCTTCGCTGTCTTGGAGGCCTTCTTGGCCGTCTTGGAGACATCTTGGGATCCATCTTGGCCGTCTTGGAGGCCATCTTCGGCGTTTTCGGGGCCATCTTGGGCTCTTCTTTGGGGCGTCTTGGGCTGTCATGGGGCCATATTGGAAGCCTCTTGGGCGCTCTTGGGACGATGGTGGGGGCCTCTTGGGCCGTCGGCGAGCTGATAAGAAGAAAATGCCAAAATCCATCAAACACCTGAGCAAATCCATGATTCTTGCCCTTTCGGGCCTTCCTGGAGGACGTCTTGGAGCCTCTTGGCCAGTCTGAGGCCATCTTGGAGTCATCTCGGGCCGTCTTGGAGGCTTCTTGGACGAACTTGAAGGCATCTTGGACTCTCTCGGGCAGTCTTGGAAACCATCGTCCAAGAAGCCTCCAAGACGGCCCAAGATGGCTCCAAGATGGCCTCAGACTGGCCAAGAGGCCCCCAAGAGGCATTCAAGACGTCCTCCAGGAAGGCTGGAAAGGGTAAACATCATTGATTTCCCTTAGGTTTCTGAAGGATTTGTAAGCGATCTTGGGGGCCTCGCCTCTTGGGCCGTCTTGAGCCGTCGGAATGCCGAGAAGAAGCAAATGCCCAAATCCTTCAAAAACCTAACGAAAATCAATGAATTTGGCCTCTTCGGGCCCTCCTGGAGGACCTCTTGGAGGCCTCTCGGGCTGTTTTGGGCCGTCTTGGAGGCTTCTTGGGCGTACTTGAAGGTATCTTGGGCTCTCTTGGGCCGTCTTGGAAGCCACCTTCGACCATTTTAGGCGAACTTGAGGGCCATTTCGGGCCATCTGAGCCGTCCTAGAGGCTATCTTGGGCCATCTTGGAGCGGGACAGGCATTGACATGTACAGTTTGGGGTCTCTTCGGGTGGCCGGCGGGACGGGCCGAAGCCCCAGTGAGTTCCCTAAAAGAACCAAAGCCGTCCAGAATCTAACACGCCAGGCATCCCCGTCACAAATCAACAAGGGGGTGCTGAACCTTTCCGGCTTTCGGTCTTGGTTTCGGTTCTATTTCACAAAGAACTCCCCCCTGGGGCTTCGGCTGATCCCGGCAGGGTCCCGGAAAAGCCCCGAAACCACCTCAAGGACCGGAAAACATTCTCCAAGACGGGTCAAGATGTCCTCTAAGATGGACACGTTGGCCCAAGATGGCCTCCAAGATGGCCTCCAAGTCGCCAAAGATGGTCCAAGATAGCCTCCAGGACGGCCCGAGAGAGTCCAAGATGCCTTCAAGTTCGTCCAAGAAGCCTCCAAGACGGCCCAAGATGGCCTCAGACTGGCCAAGAGGCCCCCAAGAGGTCTCCAAGACGTCCTCAAGGAAGGCCCGAAAGGGCAAACATCATTCATTGTCCTTAGGTTTTTGAAGGATTTTGGCATTTTCTTCTCATCAGCTCTCCGACGGCCCCATAGGCCCCCACCATCGTCCCAAGAGCGCCCAAGAGGCCTCCAATATCGCCCCATGACAGCCCAAGAGGCCCCCAAGAGGGCCCCAAGAAGAGCCCATGACGGCCCAAGATGGCCCCGAAGACGCCGAAGTTGGCCTCCAAGACAACCAAGATGGCCTCCAAGATGCTTCCAAGACGGCCAAGAAGGCCTCCAAGACAGCGAAGATGGCCCCAAGATGTACCCAAGACGGCCCCAGATGGCCTCGAGATGGCCTTAGACTGCCCACAAGGCCCGCAAGAGGCCTCGAAGACGGCCCAAGAGCCTCCAAAACTTCCTCCAAGAAGGCCCGAAAGGGTCAAAATGGCCTCCAGACGGCCAAGATGACCTTCAAGACGCCCACGTGTTCCCCGAAGGCTTTCCAAACCGATTCGGGGAACACATGGTCCGATAGCTTGGCAGGGCTCTGGCCTCAACGTTCGGCCACATCGGCGCTTCCGAAAGGGCAGGGGGCGGCGGTGACTCGCCGTAGGCGTCTTCGATACCAAGAATTCAAAATGTCTGCGCGCACCGCTCCTCATCACTGTCATCAACACCATTCCATCATCATCGCCAGCGTCATCATTGCTATCGTCATCCTCATCATAACCATCGTCGTCGTCAATATCACCACCATCGTTATCATCTTCATCGCCGATGCCGTTGCCCTCGCTAGCAGCGTCACCGCCATCGCAATCAGCATCATCATCGTCGTCACCACCACCACCACCACCACCACCACCATCATCATCATCATCATCATCATCATCATCATCATCATCATCATCATCATCAGCGGCATCATTATCATCATCACCAGCGTCATTAATCTAGCACCACCACCACTACCATCCTAGCAACATCAGCATCGTCATCATCATCCGCATCCACCTCCTCATCCGCATCCTCATCCTCTTCCTGAGCCCCGTACTCATCTTCATCATCATCCTCATCATCATCATCATCATCCTCACCATGATTATCAACATCATCATTATCATCGTCACCTTCGTCGTAATCACCATCATATGCATCTTCATCGCCAGCATCAGAATCATCATCAAACTCATCGTCATCAGCATCATCATCAACATCATCAGCATCTTCATCTTCAGCATCACCAATCGTTATCACTTCAACATAATCATCTTCAGCAGCGAATCATCACCACCATCATCACCATCTTCATCATCAGCAACATTATCATGGTCATTGTCGTCGATGCTAACGTCATCACCACTCGCCCGCACGAGCCACGGATCTGTATGAGCAGGGTCCGCGTATCAATGTGCCACTTGAGATTCAAGAGCAAGTTCCGACGGGTGACCGCACACACGGCTTGCGATAGGTTTCGAAGACGTTAAGGGTGAGTGACTAGAATGTTTGCTCGAGCATGGTGGTCACGCGCGGCGCAGGCAGAATTGCTTGCATCACATAGACGGCACAAAGAGATTGCCCGACATAGCTTCCACGAATCAGTTTGCACCACCTATCTTGCTCCACGCGGATTGCACCATATGATTGCACTACACCGATTGCACTAATTCTATAGGTTGCACTGCACACCATAAGCGATAACACGCAGATTGCAACACATATGTTGCACCATGTACGGCGCACGACGTACATCACGCATCACGACTGCAATGCCGCACTATTCGGGGTCCACGCTAACAATGCTAATACTATTCCGAACAAAGGCGATACACTTCCGCCCGGCCGACACAGAAGGGTCATACATTTCGCCCTGGCCTGGCCACATGTGGCCGTTTCGCACGAGACATCTTCAAAACGACTGCGACGGCGACGACGACGACGACGACGGCACTTCCGCACTGCCGACCCGTCCTAGCGAAATAGAGATCACCCTCTGGTGGCTTTAATGCAACTCACGGGCATGCAGCCCGCATGAGTCCCGTGCTCAGGCACGCCCCCCCATCTGCTGTACAGCCATCGTGCTACCATAGCGAGCAGTAAACGCAAAACGGAGGGGCTTTTCTAGCCACGGCTGGCCTCGGCCATGAATAGGTTCCCCGACCTAGATCTAAGAAACGGCCCGAACACCACAATCCCTCCTGCTGGGCCTGTTTTCCACCACCACCACCATAAGCTGGATGGGGGGGCGGAGGAGGAGGACGAGAAGGAGAAGGATGGAGAGGAGGAGGAGGAGGAGGAGGAGGATGAAAGAGGAGGAGGAGGTAGGGGAGGAGGACGAGGGCCCCCTCCCCCACCTCCTCCAACTTACGGTGGTGGTGGAAAACAGGCCCATCACCTCTGGAGCCCTGTGGTCCTTCTTCCAGCGCCTTGACCGTACCAGCCCGCGCAGCGCAAGGGGCGGAAGCCCCGTCCCAACAACCTCACCTCCACGGGGTGGTGCGCCGGTGGGGCCCCGAGAGAGTGTCCTGGGGCAGCTTGGTCCTGGATGCTCTGGCCATCCCCGAGATCGACTCGGGTTAACCCAGAAAGGTCCAGCGACAGGGGGGTGGTGCAATAGATTTAGTGTAATCGATTTGTGGGTTGCAGTACATTTGGGGCGTGCAATACGTTCCAGGGCGCAAATGTATTGCTGGATTCTCGCGTGCAATACGTTACTTGCAATACAATGCAGTACAATTCTCCGACGCAATACATTTGCAATACAATTGCCCAAAATCTATTGCACCACCCCCTTTCAGCTGGACCCGCTCTTGGGTCACCCGGGTTGACACGTTTCCTGCAGGGACGCCAGCGAAAGGGACTTCTGCAACACCGGCGTTGCACTTGAGGCCTCAAAACGTGTGGGTGACAGCGTTATGCGGCGACCTCGTGGGCGAGGCCCAGCGGACCTGAGAAATCGGCATCGCCCGTCTCAAAAGTCAAGTCGGGCCTGTCCCTCTACAGGGGGGATGTTCAAAAATAGTCTTAAAAATAGTCGGAGGACTTTTTTTTCATATGTTTGAGCGCGTTTGGTGTATTTTTTGAGAATATGTTTTGATTTGTCGCTCAAAATCCGACTGTAGGGGGACACGCCCGACCTAACTCAAAAGTCTCTTTCCCTTGGGGTCCCTCTTGGAACCACATGAGAGATGTGACCCTCTTAAGTTTCAGCTGGCCGAGCCTGCCCGCCAGCGCCTTCCGCTTCCGCAGACCGCGCGTTCCGCCCTCCCGCGCTGCCACGGGGGCTGCCAGCAGCAGGACCACGACTGCGCAGAGCCGGACCTGCATGGCGCCAGGACGGCCTCCGCGGCTGAGTTTCCTACACGGCGCTGACATGACCGCGGCCAGCTGGGGGGAGAGTGTGGGAGGCCTTTCGAGCCAGTGCTACTGCGGCCCTGGGGAGAGAGGGCCGGATAGGGAAGATGGGACGAACGAACGAACGAACGCCGGATCCGCGCGCGCGCCGCATGGGCGCCCGCGCGCGCCCGTTAGGGCGTGGCGGTGGAGGCCGTGGCCTCGATATGGAAAATAACAACTCAATGCTGTGAAACATAAGTGGATTCATGTCTTCTCCACCAATCAGTATGCGCGGCAGCCCGAATCCATCGCAAGTCGTTGGTATTGTTGTGTTCGTGTTGTCGGGGAGCAGTCGCTGCCAAAATGTCTCCCTGCCCATCGCTGTCGTCGTCGTCGCAAATACTCCCGTTTAAGGTATGTAGGAACTTCCGGATGTCATCCTCCCAACGTTTATGTTGGCCTCCATGCCGTCTCCTCCCTTGTTGCTTAGCGTTGGTGTTTGGATCCCATCCTAGTGCTCGCTGTGTCCAGCGTGTCGTGGGGTGGTTCGCCACAGTAGTTGCCCATCGCCAAACCATCCGTCGTTGTATGTGTAGCGCGTCGGGTATGTCGTGCTTGAGCATCATTGTTTCCGCAATCCGTGTGCTCCTCTGAATATATTCCGACCATGGCTCAATACCGTCGTCGGGCCCCGCTTCCGGCTGTGTCGCCTCTTCGCTGTCGTAGTCCTGAGGGTCGTCGTGGTCGGTAGGTGGGTTGCTGCATACGTCTGATTCGCTGGTGTCGTTGTCGGTCGTCGCAGTGTCGCCGGTGTCGTGCCCATTGCTTTGGCTCGTCTCTGGGTTAGGGCGTGGTGTGGGTGAGGGTGTCGTCCGCCGACGTGGCGTTCCGATAATCATTCTGACCATTCGACGTTGTGTTCTGCGCAGCTGTTGTTTGAGGGGTTCTGTTAGAGTCCACGTTTCGGCGCCATACGTCATTGTAGGTATTACGGTTCCTCTGTATAGTCGTAACCGGTTGCCCAGTGGATAATGTCTGCTGGTGAGCTCCTGTCGATAGCTACTGAAGCATACCCACGCTGCACGAATGCGGTGTTTGAGTTCTGTCGCAATGGCGTCGTGACATGTAATGGCCTGTCCCAGGTATTTGATAGTGCCGGTGTGTGGTAGCACTTCGATGTCCATGTCTGCGACTCTGACCAGGCGTGCGCGGTGGCGGGACTGGTTGGTCAGGACTTTGGTTTTGGTGGGGTGCAGTTCCAGACCGTGCGGCCTGGCTGAGGCGATCAGGTCGGAGAGCATGGCCTTCAAGTTGGGCAGCGATTGGCTGACCAACAAGATGTCGTCGGCGAAACGGAGATTCGTCAGTATTGATATATCCGCAACACCAAGTTGGACGCCCCGGTTGCGGCGCTGCCAGTCCTGGATGACCGGTTGCAGCACATGCTGCAGCAACGCGTTGAACAATAGTGAACTCAAGGGGTCACCTTGTTTTGTACCGCGGCTGAGGTTGAAAGACTTGCTAGTAGCGTCAGTGCGGACCACAGCTGTCTGGTCGTAATACAGACGTCGTAGAAGATCCACATATCCAGAAGACACGCCTTGGTGAAGTATCGCTGTCCATAAACTGTCGTGCTCCACTGTGTCGAATGCCTTTTTGAAATCCACCGCTGCGATCCATAATGTTTGATTCCATTCTGCTGCCCGCTCTCGCAAAATGTTGAACGTGAAGAGGTGGTCCCGCGTGCCCCGTCCGTGTCGGAAGCCGGCCTGGTCGTCAGGTTGTTGCTGATCCAGCGTAGGCAACCACCTGCTGTACAATAGGCGGCTGAAGAGCTTGCACAACATTGGTATTGTACAGATCGGGCGGTAATTCTGAGGATTCGTCAAATCACCCGCTTTGGGGATCACTGTGATGACAGTTTTTCTCCAATTTGCTGGTGTCGGAGCGTTCGGCTGTATGATCGTGTTGTACAGCTGCAACAATGCGTTCTCAAGCTCAGGGCCTGGCTGTCGGAGCATTTCAGACCGGATCCCTGTCGTGTCAGGGGCCTTGCCGCCCTTGAGCTGTGATATTGCCATCTTCAATTCCTTTGTCGTGAAAGGTGCGATCTGCTGTGGCTCTGAATCCACGGCTGGCGATGTGCAGCGAGCGTCAGAAGCGTACAATTGAGCATAGAAATCCGCGAACGTGTCCGCGATGCCCTGTCGCGTTGTCTGCTTTGTGCCATCGGTCCCGGTCATTTCAAGAATCAGCGTTTTCTTCCGCCTAGTTTTCGTGGAGCGTATGTGTTTCAGACCCTTGTACTGCTCCAGGATGGTGTTGATCCGATCTCTCCTGTCAGCACGCTTCTGTCGTCGAAGCTGTTGTCGAATTGCTTTGCTGATTGCCTTCCGGGTGGCGGTGTCGGCAGTTGGGATGTTCTGGCGTTGTTTGATCAGGCCTGAAACAATACTGTCGTTGTGAGCTTGCTCGACGCTGTGAGCGGCAGCGGCCGCAGCTGTTTGTGTAGACACCGTCTTAGTACCACCACGCGTCATGGAATCGCACAGGCTTTTCTCGATAGCGTGGCAGAGCTCCTCAGGGTCTGTCGGCAAAGCCCCGGGTTGTAATTGGCGGCCCAGGTGCTGCTGGTAGTCGTCGAAGTTGACGCGCGTCCACTGTTTGCTGCAGGAGTCGTTGGTTGACGGCGGATGTCGAGATGAGCGCTTGGTATCTCCATTCGATTGCATTGGAGAGCGAATGTGGAGTACCACGGCTTTGTGGTCCGAGTTGAGATCCGCTATGTTGGAGGCTTCGGCGTTGATGCACATAGGGAGTAGAGTTCTGTCTACAAGGATGTAATCATACTGCCGTGGCTTGCCTTTGGTCGTGGTGTATGCGATCTGCTTGTCAGGGGGTTTCCGGAAGAACGTATTCGCGATTGCGAGTTTCTGTTGTGTGACCCAATGTCGTAGCCATTGACCTCTGGAGTTCTCGTCGCCAAAGCCGTGGGGGCCCACAAAGCGAGAGGAGACGTCGTCGGAGGACGTCTGGTCGTCTTGCGGCCGTTCAACGATCCGCCGCTGTGCGCCAACCTGCGCGTTGAAGTCTGCGGCCAGGATGGTTCGTATTTTGCTGACGCGGGCTTCCTTGAGCACAGCGCCAATGCCATCATACATGTGTTGTATGTGTACATCAGTGTACCCAGTATGCGGGAAGTACGCTGAAATCAACTGTAAGCGAATTCGGCCTCTCTTGAGCGTCATCGTGGCCAATCTCGGAGTGATGGCCCGGAACTCCCACATGTATCGGCCCCATCGCTTGTGCAGAAGGATGGCGACTCCGTGGCACCGACTGTCGTTTCCAGATCCTGCAAAGGTATGCCCATCAGCTGTGATCCAAATTTCTTGTCGTGTTGTCCTCCAAGTTTCGTTAATGAGGATGGCGTCCCAATGGTAGCCACCCACGTCGCGTAGAAGTTCTTCGATGCGGTCGTCGGACTCCATTGATCTCACATTCTTGTGTATGATGACGAGATGGTTGTTGCTGATGTCGTCGCTAGTTGCCGGTGGTGTCGGAGATGGCTGCCTGGAGAGAGTTGGCGGGTGAAGAAGGCATGCGGGAACATCGCCGTCGACATTGCTGTAGTCTGCCCTTCCTCCACCAGAGTTGCGGCAGATTGGTCGGTGAGATTGCGGGTCTCGTACTGGTCGTTGGATGCCGAGCTCCGTCGTCGAAATAGTGCTGGATGGTATTCTTCCTGTGGGTTGATTCGCAGATCCTGCAGAAGCTCCGTGAAACCTGAGAGACGCCTTCGGGAAGTCGCTGTCTATAGTGCTGTATTTTCCGCGTCCGCCGCCTCCTGTGGGAGGTGGGGCGGGGTAGGGACGAGAGTGGTGGGATGGGGAAGGGTCAGAAGACAAACTGGGGCACATGGAGTGTGATGGTTTGTCGTCCCCCTTGGCGCCGGACAGTCCGTCGTAGTCCAAATGGGAGGCTGGAGTCGGGAGCCGGATAGGAGGAGTCGGCGTGGGTGTGTCCAAATAGGAAGCTGGAGTCGGAGTGGGGGATGGGGAGGTACTGAATGATTTTGGGATGGGAGCTGGAGTCGGTGAGCGTCGCCGTTGTCGTCGTCACTCGATGTCGCGGTTCTTCCGCCATTGTTCCATGAACGTCATCACGTCCTGCTTGACTGCGTCTCCGTCCCCGTACGTCTCGAAGCTGCCGTCTCCCTTCACCTCAGCAACCTTGACGCCTTTCATCTTGATTACCCCCGTGTCCCAAAAGATGCGTATCGTTTTTTGTTCGAAGCCCTTGTTCATGAGGTGGTGTTTGATATGACCCATTGTTTTGTCGATGATGCGTTTCTCGATCGTGTTATTACTCGTGAACCACATCTTCCTCCCACACTCCCATTTGGTCTCCCTCCCCCGCATTTTCTTGAGGAAGCCCCGCTTAGTAGAATCGTTTGTAAATTCCAATACCCCGATCTTCGCTGGGTCGATGTAGGTCGATATGCTCGCGATTTTGTTCTTCATGCCGTTCTTCTCCACCACGTCGCTGATCTGCTTCACGATGCGATCCTCGTCCTCCTCGTCCGTCAGGCCTCCCACGATGACCTGGAGCTCCCGGTCGTCATGTGGGTGCTGGGGTTGCTGCGCCTGCTGATCATCTTTGTCCTTCAGAGCCTTCTCGATTCCGTCTTCCACCATGGCCTGCAGCTTGTCCTCGATTTCTTTTTTAGTCAAATACATATCCTCAAGGTCGTTCCTGATTCCCTCCACGTCCATCTCCAACTCCTCCATCTTCTCCTGAGCCTCCTCTGCTGCCCTTCGTGCGTCCTGCGCCTCCATCCTCGCCTTGTCAATCATGTCTTTCATTCCGTTCAGGTCGGTCGTAATGCCTTCGATTTGCTTCGACAGGCGGGCATCGAAGTCTTTAAACCACTGCGGGGGCGAAGCCGCAACAACTACACCATCTCCTGACCCCCTGGCTGAATCGATTGCCGAATCTGCTCCACCATCGAGCTCCTCCTCTTTTTTCTTCTTCTGCTTCTCCGGCGTTGAGCCTGTAGGGCCACCGAGACGTTTGCCTTTCTCCTTACCCGACATACCTGCCCAGAATGGTGCGAACAGCGTGAGAGAAATTGGGAGTGTAGTAAAGGTGAGTCAGTGGGGGGAGTTGAGTATAGAGATGTGATCGCTTGATCGCTTGGCGGCTTGATCGCTTGACGGCTTGAGCCAACATCTTGAGCCAGGGTGGGGAGGTGGAAGTGACGAGCGGGATGGCAGAGGAGGGGTGCAAGTAGGTGAAAAAAACGCAAAGAGACGGAGGTATGAAGAGGAGATGCGAGGGCCAACCTTGGTGCATGATAATGAATCAACAGCCCGAACGACCAGATGCACCCAGAGCCCACATCTGGAAACCGCTGGATCTCGGCCTGCAGGCCTAATTATAGTATTTGTTCGGAGGCGTCCGAGTCAGAAAAATCAACGTAGAAGCGCAAACAGATGGCCTCGAGCGCCTGCCTGAAGCCACACTTCTGTGCTGATTGTCCCAGCACGATCGCCAGCTACAGTCAAGCTGCTACCACAAGGAACGCTGAGTAAGGAACGCAGCCCCTTTCTGGTCCCAGAAGCGCCCTGGTGCACAAGAAGCGCCAGACAAACAACCACAGAAAAACCTTAGGAACAGCGAGCCTCTTCCGAATCCGAACTGCCCCTCATTTCACGGTCTTGGCTGTACTGCAGAGAACCGACTGCCGTTCACGGACGGCTCGCACTCCACGCGGCCGTCCATGATGAACAACATCCCGTCGAAATCCCTCGTGTTGCCCTCGAAGATGGTCTGCCTGGGCTCGAAGCTGGACGCCGATGTTTTTGTTTGCTGGGCCATGCGGCCAATAAGCATGCCGCCTCAGAAGTCAAATATCGCCAAAACACGCACAAGTTACGGTCAGGAGCGTTTGCTTTGCGTGTCGCCGCGGCGGCCCCGGCGACACGCCTTTCGGGCGGATAATGTTTCGCTCCGCGTCGCGAGGCGGGAGACTGGGAAAAGTTTGGGACGTTGATAAGTTGAGACTGGGACGTAGCTAACGTATCTGCCCGAAAAGGTGGTGGTCCGAAACCGGCGGAGCGACATGCTAAGCAAACGCTCCTGACCGCAATCCGCTTTCCCGGGCGGAGGGAGAGGGGAAGAAGCACGAGCGGGGAGAAGGGAGGATAGATAGCCCCTCAGGCAAAGGTCCACACCTCATGCCTGAGGCAGTAATGATGGCAGCACAGCGGAAGCGAGACGTACAAAGACAGTGATCACAGACATGCCACAAAACCATCCAGGGTTCAGTATCCCCAAACAGCGCTTTTTGAGCCAAAGAGGCTCCTAAGAGTGTTCGCGCGTCTTCCTACTCCTGATCCGCTTGCGCCTTCGGCGTTTTTGTCGAGGTTTTTGTCATCGTCGTCGTTGTTCTCCTCCGCATCCACATCATTATCCTTCTCGCCCTCGCCCGTCACCTTCCACTACATCTCCTTCTCCTCCTCATCATCATCCCCCTCCTATCTCCCTGCCACTTCTACTCGTCCTCCTCCTGATCCTCCTCCTCCTCCTCCTCCCCGCCATCCGCCTCATCCTGATCTTCCTGGTCCTCCTCACCCTCCTCATTCTTCTCCTCCTCCTCATGTTATCTCACTCCTCCTCGTCCCCCTCCTCTTACAACGTATCCTCGTTCTCCTGGTGCTTGTCCTCCTTGTTGTCCTGCTCCTACTCCTCGTCCTCCTGTACCTTCTCATCGTCGGCCTTTGTCCTCCTCCTGCTCCTTCTCCTCCTGATCGCAGTGCTCCTCCTTGTACTCCTCGTGTTCCCCCTCGTGCGCCTCGTCTTCCTTCCCTCCGCAGTGGCCATCCTGCTCATCATCCTCTTCCTTCTCCTCTTCATCCTCCTCGTCCTCGCATTCCTCCTCCTCCTTGTCCTCATGTCCTTTTCCTCCTCCTCATCAGCATCATCAGCATCATCAGCATCATCGTCATCGTCACCATCACCATCACCATCACCATCACCATCACCATCACCATCACCACCATCACCAACATCATCATCATCATCACCATCATCACGATCACCATCATCATCGTCATCATCATCCTCATCCTCATCCTCATCCTCATCCTCATCCTCATCCCACTCCTCATCCTCATCCCCATCCTCATCCTCATCCTCATCCTCATCCTCATCACCATCACCATCACCATCATCATCATCAGCATCAGCATCAGCATCAGCATCAGCATCATCATCATCAGCATCAGCATCAGCAGCATCGTCAGCATCATCATCATCATCATCATCAGCATCATCATCATCATCATCATCAACATCATCATCATCATCATCATCATCATCATCATCATCATCATCATCATCATCAGCATCAGCATCAGCATCATCAGCATCGTGTTCCTCTTCCTCCTTCTTCTCGTCCTCCTCCTCTTCGTCCCTCCTCTTCTCTGCTGCCCCCGCCATGCCAGGGATGCATTCGCACTCTCGATGCGGTGTTCAGGAAGCACCCTCGCCATGGATGCCTTAAAGCAACTAGTTGTGGCATGGTCCCGCCTCCCCCTCCATAATTTGTTTGTTACTCCTCCCCTTCTCATCCCCCACCCTGCCTCCTCCCTGCTCACCGCGCTCTCGCTCGAGGCATCCCCACGATTTGCTCAAGCATGGCTGCCCCCCTGGGAAGCCCTTGCAGCTTACCAAGAACTCGTGCTCGCGCCTCGGCGCTGGCCACCTCCTCCGTCGGGCCAGAAGCGCCCAGACCCCCTCCCAGAGCACAAGTCGGCAACAGAAGTGTCCTCAAATGATTTGTTTGGGTCTGACCCCTCCTCCCTCCCCTCTCAAGGGCCCCAGGACGCCCCAAGAAGCCCCCAAACTCGCCATTGTCCTCCTCCTCCTCCTCCTCCTCCTCCTCCTCCTCATCCTCATCCTCATCCCCCTCCTCCCCCCTCCTCCTCCTCCTCCTCCTCCTCCTCCTCCTCCTCCCCCTCCCCCCCTCCTCCTCCTCCTCCTCCTCCTCATCCTCATCCTCCTCCTCCTCCTCCTCCTCCTCCTCCTCCTCCTCCTCCTCCTCCTCCACTCAAGTACCATATCGGGTCAAGCCAGCTTTGGTTCAAGATGCTTGCCCCGCATGTCCCAGGGCTGTACCACCCACGGGTGTGCTTACTTGAGCGCTTTCGGGGACAATAGCTTCGTGGAGGTGAACGCTGGGATTGTGGCTCGGCGCTGTCACGAGTTGGAGGAGCGACTTGTGGTTGATCTGCTCAGGAAATCCGCTACCTATATCTGCCATGTTCGTACTCGTGCCTGCTCCGTCGAGGCGGTGTGCATTTTCGGGGCTTCTGTTTGAGTTCGTCCTGGAAGTGTTGCCCACGCTATGTATTCACAGCGCTGTTTTTTGTTTTACGTGCCAGTGGCCTTTCCCCCTTTTTGGGGCGTACGGCACGTCATTGCAATGGTGGGATTGTGGGTTTGCCACATTTGTTATCAGCATCGTTCCTTTATCTGGGTTCTTGGCGGCGTCCCCGTGTGGCTGAGCCTGGCCCAGGCCCGTATGGGCAAGTACGGCAGACGTGTTTCTGATTTCTACGGTTGGGCTTTGCTGTATAATTTTCATTCATCGTTACAGTTCTGAGATGTCAATTTTTCACATCTTGCAATTGTGAGGTGTTCTGTATGCTGGCGTGTTGCGCGTTGGTGGAGTGACGCCCATTACCTACGGATGCTCATCGGCACTGTCTTTGGGCCGTCTGCACTGGGCGGGGCGTGGGGCTGTGGCGTATTTTTGCTGTGGTCAGGCGGTTCGTCATCTTTGTGCGGGTCCACTGGCGGTGTACGGCGTCATGCACGCCGCGGGGCTTTCATCGACATTGCGTTATGCACGGAGTGGTCATCGCTATACCTTCGCTCGAGTATGGCGTTGACGAGGGCGTCGTGCAGTTTATTTACCTCAAGGTGGTCTTCCTCATCTTCGTGGTGCTCGTGCTGGCCACGCCCGACGCGGGCTGCTTTTTGCCGTTGATGCACAAAAAATCCTCCTCCTCCTCCTCCTCTTCCTCCTCCTCCTCCCGGAGGCCAAAATTTGGAGAATGTCTCGCGCGAAACGGGCCAGACCACCTGGCGCGCAGCATCTCGGAGCCCCGAATTGCGAGGATATCTCAAGCAACACGGGCCAAACCACCTTGCGCTTATTTTCTCAGCGCGCAGAATTGCAAGGATGTCTCAGGCGAGATGGGCCGAACCAACTGGCGCGCATCTTCTCGGATCCCAGAGATGCGAAGATGTCTCAGACGAAACCAGCTGGATCACCTCGCGCGCGGAAGCTCGAGCGAAACGGGCCAGACCACCTCGCGAGCGGCAGCTCGGAGCTCAGAAAGGCGAGGACGTCTCAGACGGAATGGGCCAGACCACCTCGCGCGCGGCAGCTCGGAGCTCAGAGTTGCGAGGATGTCTCAAGCACAATAAGCCAGACCACCTCGCGAGCGGCAGCTCGGAGCTCAGAGTTGCGGGGATGTCTCAAGTGAAATGGCCCGCACCACCTCGCGCGCGGCAGCTCGGAGTTCACGGTTGCGAGGATGTCTTCGGCGAAACGGGCCAGACCACCTCGCGCGCGGCAGCTCGGAGCTCAGAGTTGCGGGGATGTCTCAGGCGAAATGGGCCAGACCACCTCGCGCGCGGCAGCTCGGAGCTCACGGTTGCGAGGATGTCTCAGGCGAAGCCTCCAATCCCAGCCAGCTCAGAAACGAGTTGCGAGGACGTCCTGGGCGAAACGCCCCAGACCACCAAAGTATCTCGAGGGCGTCTCCGGGGCGCCCGTCCCTCGACCAGAACCAGCTAATTACAATCACAGCTTCGCCCCGTTCGGCAAGCTGCTCGGGGAACAAGCGCTCAACCCAGATATGCGACGACGAGCAGCCCAGGAGCCTCTCGACCGCCTCCCAGGGACCTGCTCCTTCTCTTAGTCCCCTATTTGATGGCCCTGGTGGCCGCAACGGGCCTCCAGGCGCTGGAATTGGTGATAACAGAAAACGAGACAACCACATAAACATAAACTTTCGGCGCTCCGCGCGGAATTCTTGCATTCGCGCTGGACCCCCCTCCCTGGCACGCGGAGCGCGCCGGGGGCAGCTCCAGAGGCGCCGCCGGGGGGCCCAGGCGCGGATCCAAGAAATCCGCGCGGAGCGCTAAAAGTTTATGCTTCTGTATTTTTTTCTTCTTCGAGAAACGGGCCTCCAGGCGCTGGAATTGGTGATAAGCTGTCACCTTGAAGCAATCAGGATGCCAGAGGGGACGAGAAGGGGCACGGGGAGACGGAGGGGGAGAGGCGGAGCGTGGGCGGGGGTGGGAGGGACAGAGACCGCAGAAGGAAGCAAGCACCAGGGAGCAGCAGAAGGGGAAGAGAGGGAGAGGTGGGGAAGCGAGAAACGGAAGGGGGGGGAAAAGGACCATGAAGGACCGGCGAAGAGGAGGAGAGCACAGGAGGAGAAGCATACGAGCACGAAGCACCAGAACAGCAACAATGCGGTTGGCCAGTCTGGACCCCGCACTGCGACGTGTAAGCGATGTGGTGCAAGCTACGTGGTGCAAGCTGTGTGGCGCAAGATTCTGACCCGACAAAGCCCAGCCACGAGCATACGCCCAGCGCACGCGACGCCCACGAGGCGCCCACGGGGCGCCCACGGGCAGGCGCACCTCGGCCGACCCACCTGGCGCACGAGGCGCCCACGAGGCGTTCACGGGCGGGCACCAGGCGAAACCCCTCGGCTGACTCACCCATCGCACGAGGCACCAACGAGGCACCAACGGACCGGCACGAGGAAAACACTCGCGGCTGACTCATCCAATTCTTTACGTCACAAGAACAAGAACCCCTAAGTACAAGCACTATCTGGGGTAAGAAAAACGCCGAATAGAGAGAGGGGCCACAAGGAGAGAGGGACGGACGACTGACGCAAGCAACTCAGCGTATGCTGCGGCCAGAAGGAGGATCAGGAGGAGGAGGAGAATGTTCCCCAAGCTCTACAGAGCCAGCAAAAAAACAAGTACGTTCCTCGTGATTCTCATCCTCCCTGCCAACTCCTTGAGCATGGCTGGGGGGATGCGATCGGCCGGGTCAGCGTACTCGCCCAGTATCCTGCGGGCGCAGTGCAAAATCGGAGATAGCATGTGCCTCGTAACCCCATACCATCGACGTCGTGATATGGGGGAAACCCAGGTACCCATACCGCTACTTCCCGGACCTCTCCCGGGTTGCGTTCTGACTAGAATTTCGAGGCGAATCCAGCGGTGGCGACGAGGGCCTCCCAGGAGGCTCAAAAAGACGAAAAACGAGGCAAGGGTAGCAGTGTGGGTACCTCTCTTCCTCCGAAATTTGTTCAATGCCACCATTTCTCGCCTTCGGGAGTGCCCCTCCTCCTCACGGTTGGACGAAACCCGAATTGTGGGTCCCAAAACCGTGTGGTGACATATCCGGCGGTGGCATCGAAATCCGCAGATACCTTACGTCAGAGTCCGTCTCCACACGATTTTGGGACCTTGGAGGCCCCTGTCGCCCCAGACGTCCTCGGAGAACGACACCCGAGTCCGAAAACCGTGCGGTGACCCCGAATCCCCACCGACTCACGAAACGGTGTGGTCACCACACCGTTGGGGAGCCCCTGGTCGAATCGGCTATACGCAAGAGCGATCCCGTGCAAGAGTGACCTTTGGTGCGCGGCTTTTTGGGGGGCCGCAAGGGGGCAACCACCAGCGCGCAGGACGCTACTATCGTTCCGCGCTCGGCGATCGGGGGACCCCAGTGGGCCCGCACCAAAGATCACTCCGTCGAAAGTTCACTCTTACGTCTAGCCTTAGGTCGGACCTGTCCTCCTACAGGTGTCGGACGTCTAGCCTTAGGTAAGGAAAACTTGAAACCATCAAATCAGAATCAGCAGTAGCCAAGACGCACGAAAGATCGTCACCATGCTATTTTAAAAACTATTATTAGATATTACTCCTGGAGCGCGTTTCTTTATTTTCGACGATAATGGGCATGATAGGGGGGGGGGCTGGAGGGGGGGTATAATGTAACGCCTCCCCCCCGCCGTGTGCCCGATGCCCACGGCGGCAGTGCCCGGAGCGCACTGGGGGGGAGGGGCGTTATGTTATAGGTGGGGGGGATGGGGGGCCGGGGGCTATAATGGCCAGCATGCTCCAAGCAATGAAGAAACGCGCCCCTATGTTTTAACTATTCTTGAATATGCCTCCTGTAAAAAGACGTGCCCGACTTAAGTTAAGTCGATCGAAGAATGGGCCGGGACGCATCCTGGGAGGGGCCCGGGCCTTCCCCCCCTTCCGTCCCTGCCTGCCTCTTGGCGGCGCGCACGGGTCGAGTAGGGGATCGACTACAGAAAGGATTTACCCCACACTTGATTTTGAACGAGAGAGAGAGAGAGAGAGAGAGAGAAAAAAAAAAAAAAAAAAAAAAAAAAAAAATGAAGGCCGACAAGGACAACCTTCCTTCCCGCTAGAAGGAGTTACAAAGCCAACGAGGCCACCGCCAAGGCGAGCGGCAAAGGCTTTGCTCCTACGTGATCAGGTGCGCCGACTCCCTCGACTTCGACAGGGAGGTCGAGTGGGTCTGCGGCGCCAGCATCCAGCCCGTCCTCCTCCTCCTCCTCTACGGGGTCGACAGCTGCTCGCACCGAATCTACGACGAACGCGTCTCACAAATCAACCGAGAGTTCTAAGTATTCTTCCGCATATTTGACGGATCTATGAAAACTGGGGTGAACCAATTACAACTCTGCAAGTCGACCGCCTGCACGAACAGGGGAATCATTCGTCGTCGATGGTCGATCGTCGATGGGCGTCGTCGTCGACCGACCACGACGACGACAATCGTACCAATGCTCGCAGCCCGCCCGTACCCCCACTGGCGGGGCGCACAAGGGGGTGGGGGGAGGGGGGAAGGCTTCTCAGAAGGAGGCTGCTTCTTATAATAGGGGCACAAAGACTCAGTGGTCCGCACGGATTTCTTGAATCGGCGCTGGAGCCTCCTGGCGGCGCATCCTGCGCCGCCCCTGGCGCGCTCCGCGCGCCAGTTCAGCGCCGATCCAAGAGATCCGTGCTGAGTTCCACAAGTTTATGTTTCTGTCGTTTTCTGTTGTTCGATTCCTAGACGGCGCGGGCCCCACATCTGCAGACAGGGCCCGCCTCTTCTAAGAAGCAGGGGTGCTTCTAATAAGCATTCCCCCCCTCCCCCATACCCCCTCTGCGCGTGGCTGAGCCTCCTCTCACATCACCTGTTCGGTCCCTGGGGCCCCTTGAATAGACAATGTGTAGGCGGACCTTGAGGCACCGATACAGCTACTCCACTGACCTCTCCTGGAGTTCGTCCTAACTTAGATCGATGCGAATCCTGCCGTGGCGACGACGGACGGGTAGAGGAACCGGTATATTTTCTTCCCTTTGATTGCAGCTGGGGATCTACTGACCCGGGTCACTTCAGACCCAGGCCAATCAGTCTTTGCAAGATTCTACACGGCCCTGCAAGATCCTGCAAGATCCTGCACGCTAGCCCGGGTCAGTGCAACCCTGGCGCTGCAGGATCCTGCAAGATCTGGCGCTCTGACCGACGCCCGTTCGCATTGACCCCGGTCTCTTGAACCCCGACTGAATGGTTCCGCGCCCAGTGTGCACGGGCACGCCGGCCCCCATGGCTGCCCGCCGAACGGCGCGCGGCGCCAGAACCGCCGACGCCTCGGCGCCGATCCTTCAGCCCTCAGGATGCCAGGGTCTGGCGCAGGCAAAGAGCTGAGGGGGAAACGACGGGGCGGGACCGGCCGAGCCCAGCTGGGCGATACAGTCAAAACTTGCAGCAAGGACGGATGGTAAGAGCGCAAGACCCTCGGAGGCCGAAGTTGGGATTTTTGGACGGCGGGCGACCAGTGAAGACGGCAAGGGACGGACCGCAGAGGCAAGGACACACGCGTACCGTAGATGAAGGCACGCGTCCTTACTAGGCGTGTTGACTGTACAGTCGAGCTTGATTGGAGAGGACACGCGAGAGGACACCAGACCGAGGGCCTCACTGCCACAGGGATGCAGAAGGCATGGGTCGCGAAACACAGGACACAAGGGTACCTTTGTTCTGGCAGTGTCGACCTACGCATCAAACTCGACTGCAGTCTCCCGACAGCGAGACGTCACGTTCCTGGACGGAGTGGGCTATTAGGCCCCCGTCGGCGATGAAAGGGCGGTCGGGGGTCGATTCATTCCCACTCGGCTAGAGGGACCTTCACTAGCCGAATCGAATCAAGTCGGAGGAGTCGAGATGAGCCCTGCCCAAAGGAGATCGCTTGAAAATCTTCGACGAAAACCCAGATTATCTTCTGGGCGGGGAAAGGGGGTTGGCGGGCAGATGACCTAGTACGCCCGCGCGCACCGATACTGCGCGCCTCCTTTGGACCTGGGCAACCGACAAGGTCGGGTTGTCCGGGAGGGCGAGGGGGGGGAGCGGACGGGCCCGGCAACCTGGGGCAACGTCGGACCCAAAACAATCTCAAAGCGGCCTTGACTCTTTCAGCGTCTCGACCGTGCGCTGTTCTCGTCGGTCGTCGGCGCTGCCTCCGCCTTCGCTCGGGCGAGAGCCTCCAGCGCCCAGGAGCAGTGGCACTCCTCTCAAGGCCTCTGCGTCAAAAAGGGCGCCTCAAGGGACGAACCTCCTGCCTCCAGCAAAGGGCCCAGATTGGAGGCGGCCGCGGGGTCTGAACTGCTTGGGCCTCGAGACAATTGGCGAAGAGGGGGGACGAAGGCAAATCCGCTTTCAACTGATCCCTGGACCCCTCCTGGGGCCCACCCGGCGCAATTTCTCATCCAGATCCGTTGTTGAAGGTCTGGGGTCCCGAAACGGTGCGGTGACCGACCGTGCGGTGACATCAAAATCCCCCAAGACCTCACCGCACAGTCCGTCAACGCACGGTTATGGGACCCCAGATGCCCCAGTCGCCCGCGACGTCCTCGGAGAACGACCCGAGTCCCAAAACCGTGCGGCGACCCCGAATCCCCACGGACTCAAAACACGGTGTGGTCACCACACCGCTTGGGGGCCCCCGAAGGTCCTGGTGCCCGAGAAAGGCCCTGGAGACCGACAAAGGCAAACATCCTTGTCGAACCTGGCACCTCGAACCTGCCACCCCCTTCCTGTCAGCCTTAGGTCGGGCGTGTCCTCCAACAGGCGGATCTTATACGATACCAGAAAAATGGCCCCAAATAGTCAAACAAATAGAACAAAATCGTCCCCAGACTATTGTTTTACTGTTTTTTTGTACTCCTCCTGTAGAGGGACAGGCCTGACTTAACGCGAGCCAGAAACAATTCTGGGCCACCTCGGATCCCCAGCCCACTCGAAGCCCAGACCTCTGTCGAAGAAACGCAATCATGGATGAAGACGCAGTGAAGCGACGGGTCCCGCTTCCGTCGAGAACCGGCGCGCCCCGCCGCCAAATGAGGCAGCACTGGCCTCATGGTCCGGGGGGTACAGCCAACCTGTATCATAAGGATGCGCGGTAGGGATGCAGGGGCCTTGGAGGGCCAAGTGACGTTTTTCGGACGAGGTTGGCCAGCGAAATTCGCTAAGAATGGGCCGAAAGGGCAAGGATGCCGGGGTACCCTTGGGAAGGCTACCCATCTGTACTATGCGGGTTGACTGTATTTCCCGATCCGTGGATCTGGCGCCCACGCGCCAGAGCCATCGATCTGTAGTCCGTGCTGGCGCGCGCGACTCTGGGGAGCCACGCTGCGACAGAAGCGCGACTCGGGTGCCTGGCCCCCTGAGGATCGTCCTCTCCTCCTGGGCCGCCTTTTGACAGCCTCTGGGCCCAGGAAGTGCCCCGAAGCGGGGGGGCATACGCGGCGAAACGCGCGTGACTGGCTGCCCAAATACGCAACACGCCGTGCGGAGCCTGCTGACACGGAACTCAACCCAGAGATTCAAGGCGTAGGTATGGCGCGATACGCTCGCCAGAGCGTGCACCAACACGCGTTGAACTGACACGGAGCGCGTTCAATCTGGACGATTTGAACACGGCGCGTGTCGCGCGTCTCGACACCGGCGTATCAGGACAGCTAGCTCAGGACCCCTGCACATCAAGACCCCCTTCCCAGTACGTCCGACGCGCTGATGTGTGCAATCCGCGGGCCCCAGTGGTCTCGACCCTTTCCCTAGGGGGCACCTTTTCATCCCCGGTCCATGTTTAGTGGCACAGGCGGGCCCGACAACTGAGCCCGTGCGGCATCTGAGCCCGTGCGGCATCTGAGCCCGTGCGGCATCTGAGCCCATTCGGCCGCCGAACGGACTCGGGATCGAGCCCGCTCGGACGACGAACGGGACAAACCCCTGAGCCCATTCGGCTGTCCGCTCGGCGGCTGAATGGGCTCAGACGCCGAACGGGCTCAGAGGGGAACCTCGGCGAAGCCTGGGCCCTGGCCCGGGGCTCTAGGCTTCCCCGAAGTTCCCCGCGGGCCCTCTCCGTGGCGATCTGCCAGCAAGGCCGCCCACGGAGAGAGCACGGCCAGGCCACTCTCGGCGCTGCCGGGCGAGCGCTGCGGCGCCCCGCTCCTCAGGAGCAGCTCCAGCTGCGCCTTCTCCGCGCTGCTGCCTCGGCACGTGGCGGTCCGGCCGCCCGCCCGCCTCCGCGGCCACCCGCCTCGCGGTCACCTCGCCCTCGCCCTCCGCCACGGCGCCACGCCCCCACTCCCACCTCCGTCGCCGCACCGCCCCCCTTCGGGGCTTGCGGGGGCCCGAGCGAGGACCCCGGAGCGCCCGAAAGCTTCTGCCCTCGGCCCCCCCTTCGGACCGAGGAGGCCTCCGCCGCCGCCGCCGCCACCCCGCCGCCGCCTACGCGGCCGCGGCCACCTCTGCGGCCACCTCGCCGTCGCCTTCGCCCGCAGCCCCGCCCCCCGCCGTCGCCGTCGCCATCGCATTATGTGCGCACGGCAGCGACGGCTCCTCGAAGTTGGCCTCGCACATCGCAAACAGTCCTCGCCCAGGCCTGGTATCAGTGTGAGTCGACTGGGGAGTGTCTCCACCATGGGGCGCGTGGCTGAACAGACAGACGGACAGAGGAGCTAGGCTCCCGCACGGCGCATCGGCAGCAGAACATTGCCAAGTAATCAGCGCGTAATCAAAGGCCCCCGTGAAGCTAGGCGCCCGCACGGCGCATCGGCAGCAGAACACTGCTCAGTACTCAGCGCGTCATCAAAGGCCCCTGGTGCGCACCACTCACAGCGTGCACGGTGCCAACGAGCGGCGCGCGACAAGCATCATTGATTGAACAGCATGGGAACGTCGACTTGAAAAAGAAGGTGAGGAAGGGGGAGGGACGGGGGGGATGGAGAAACGGCTGACCAGCCGCGGTCGATTCAGTGCCAACAAGAGGCGCGCGACAAGCATCATTCGTTGAACAGCATTGGAACGTCGACTTGGGAAAGAAGGGGAGCAAGGGGGAGGGACGGAGGGGGAATGGAGAAACGGCTGACCAGCCGCTCTCGATTATGCACGCTGCACGGCGATGCAGTTCAGTCGGGCACGTCCCCCTACAGGCCGATTTTGGATGAAGAAAAAATAGCCAAAAACAAAGAAATCAAAAAATGATCAAAGATACTCAAAAATAATCCCCTGACTATCTTTTGACTATAGGTTTGAATATTCCTCCTGTAGAGGGACAGGCCCGACTTAACGATGCAGACAAGAAGCTCCTGCGCAGGGCATCCTGGAGCTCGGATCTCGTGCCCGCCGCCGCGGCGACGCCCGCAGGCAGCCGGTGGAGGACCGCCACCATCCTCGGGCAGAAAATGCTGTCGAAGACAGGGGCACCAGCCCGAATAACACTTCATCCTTGTACTACTCGTATTCCTCCCCGTCCTCCTCCCCATCCTGATTGCCGTCGTCATCCTCCTCCTCGTCCTCCTCCTCATTTTCCTTGTCTGCCTCGTCTTCCTCCTGCTCCAGATCCTCCGCGTCGTCTTCGTCTAGGACCTCGTCCTCGTTTCTCCTCTTCCTCATCCTGCTCATCCTCCTTCTCCTGGCACCTCGGTCCTCGACGCGTGTGGCCTGCTTTCGTTGCCCCAACGACTTCGAGCAGCTTGTCCTGCGCATGTGCGAGCTCGTCGGAAGGAGGAGCTGCAAGCGTGGCACATTGCAGCGACAGGGTGCTCGACGAACGAGATATCCGGCGCCGTGTGCCGTGCCACGCTCGCACCACGCCACGCTTGGTCACCCAATGACGGAAGTTGCGCGTCCGCAGAAAAGCCATGAGTGTCCACCTCCGCTCCCGTGCTAAGAAGTGCACAGAGTCGGCCACCAAAAGCTTCGTGCCGAAAGGCACGCCGACGAGCTCGAGCGAGTCGCCGTACGGCTGAGACCTGGCCACTACAGTCGGGGCGCTGACCCAAGGAACCCTGAATAAGGAACGAGGATCCTTTTCACAAGAAGTTGAACTTCGACTTCCCATCGAAAACCTGGAGAAAACCTGAGGCGAATTGTGAAACAATTGGGGAGCACGGAGCCATTGTGAAGCCACTACGGTAAACGTCGACTCCCCAACGAAAAGAGTTCCCTTTTCAGCGCCCCGACTGTAGTTGCCTCGCCTCCGTCTACATAGCGAAAGTGGCCTGGACCGCCCGCCCCAGTGTGTGGAGCTCCTCCTGGGAAAAATCCACGCGGCATGGATGTTTGCCAGACGGAGCTCCACACAATTTTGCATGGATGTTTGCCATGGTCCCCGTAGGCATGGACCATGGCTGCGAGGAAACATCGCACCGGAGATCGCCCAGGTCGCCAGCGAAGATGATTTCGGTGGAAATGGGCTTGTGGATTGGCTCGGTGGTGTCGCGCAACTCGCGATCAACAGCATCGGCCCCCAGACGGCCCCTTGGAAGACCGTGTCGTCCTGCCCCTGCTCTTGCTCCT